TTCTCATGTTATCATGACTGTTTATAAATAAGGAATATAACTTGTGACTTCGTTCTCAGGCCCTGGACGAAAGAGGATCGAGCCAAATAATGTAAAATAAAGTGCGCTGAGTGTTTGATGAAGAAAAGGAGTAGAATGTAGATGATTCAATAAATAAAGGTAAAAACCACATGCGAAAAAGTAGAGGTAAAGTGAAAAGGGGTATAATTGAGTAGCAGCGGAATGAACAGAATTAAAAAGTACATCTCAACTCCCGTTCCGTTTTAAGCAGGTCCTTGCCCTTCCGCCCTAGAGCACATAGCAAACCGCCTCGCCTTATCAGACAGGTAGGAAAAGAAAAGACAGAAAAAGACGTCATGAGTAAGGAAGTCGTTTTTTCACGAGGGATATGGAGATATTTCTTTTTTCTCTCTTAAAGTAACCCAAAATCTGCGATGAAATAATTTGTGGGGCATGAAATGGTTCGTAAAGGAAGGAGTATGTTGTATATACGCGAATCGAGTTATTGCAGCAGTAGTTAATGGGGGTAGTGGTAAATGGTATCAGCACAGGGTAAAAGGGGTATGTATGTAGAGAAAAGCGATGTTCAGGACGGGCATAAAGCGTAGACGGTAGGTAACACGGCATGATTATATATGTATTTACAGGAAGGGAATGGTTGATGTGTGTTCAGCCCACTCTCTCCCGAAGAGTTTCAGGCATACCGGGTACACCCTCAATCGTACCTAGGCCCATGCCTACAGGGTGCATCATTGTTGGTGAGCCATAATAGCCGCTTTCACTCATGTCCATGCCGGATGAAACGGCTGGATTGGGAGGCGAATGTGAAGGTATGCCTGTTGGGCCACCTGGATGGGATACGTGGCCATCTATGCCAGTTGGGTCAAGATTGAAAGGCAAGAACCATGCACTGGACTGTATTAGTTCACCATTCCAGTTCATAGGTGGCTGCATTTCGTAGGAATGGTAATTGTTATTGTTACCATTGTTCCAGTACGAATTATTGATGTTAGGGTCGGCGGCATGTCCTGGCTGCGGCTGTGGCTGAGCTGGGTGGTGTGGTTGGATGGGGGGATTATTGGACGATGTCATGGGAATAGGGTGTTGAGGTATAGCTTCGACACCCGCATAGGCGTCATATACAAGTTGTCGGTCTAGTTGTGGTAGGGGGTCAGGATGAGGATGGAACTTATATTCGGACGCATAGGAAGATGGGTCAGCGGGGTATATATTAGGGTTGTTGTAGGCGGTATAACCGTTGCCGGCGTGATTCGGTATAGGTTCCTGTTGTGCAGGAATCTGAGAACTGACAGGATTCGTCGAGGGTGGCTGTTGCATTGGCTGGGAGCGGGGTATTTGTTGTTGTTGTTGCTGTTGCTGGTGCTGTTGCTGTTGCTGGTGCTGGCGCTGGCGCTGCTCTGGGGATGGCAGGTTGGTTACAATTCGGGAATGCGCCGAGCTGGTGGAGGATTGAGATTTGGTATTACCCCTTGACCCAAGCTTTGACCTTATCTTGTCCGACGGGGTTGTGGCACCTGCTCGTTTGGCTTCCTTTCGGGGCGCGTCCGAGGGTGATGTGGGTGACATGCTAGTGAAAAACTCTTCAACACTCTGGAGATCGGACTGCTGGGACATCACGGCGTCGCTGCCACTCTCCTTTTTTATGTCTACGTCCGGATCTTCCCAGCGCATTTTTGATACTCCGTGAGGATACTTGTCGAACCAATCTCCATACTGGAATATAGGCACATCTTGGCTGTTACCTTCCTTAATGCTTTCAGGGGCTGTGCGGCCTCGAAGAGATGCTTCAGCGAAATGTCTGTACCTTTCCTTGGAGCTCTCGACCATGTAGTGAAACATGCCCCAGTAACGCTTCATCTTGTTTAGGTAGTTGTATGTGTGTCGAAAGTTCTCCTTGGAGGCAGCCTCTAACTGTGGGTTCTTTGAGAAGATCCCCCAGATATGTACCGTACTCGCTGCGTAGGCGCAGTAACCAGCAAAGGGGACAGTGAGCATGTAGCCGGATGCCTGGTCGATAAGCATAGAGATATGGCTCGCCGCTTCGACAGCCGCTCTACCAGCTTCGCTCAGGAACTGTTTCGGGATATCTCTAGGTGGGCGACCCCGAGGAGAGAGCGGGATGGCAAATCGGTTGAGAAACAGGGTATTCTGATGGATAACAATATGTAGGAAAATGAACTGGTTTGCAATCTTCTCCACGGCGTAATTCTGCAGGTTCTCCCAGTTAAAGACCATACACTCAGGTAGGGAGGAAGAAAAGTCCTTTAGCAATCTTTTCAGCTGATTGTATCCAGACTCTGGCTCCCATAGTCTATATGGGTCCTTCGCCTTTCCACCGAGATTAAGGTAGTCCACAATCTTTCCCCAGAGCATGATGCTGCGTATAATGTATGCAGATATGCCCATGTTATTCTTTGGGTTCGACAGCTGCCCTACACCTTCAGGTACAGGGTTAGGCACGGCCCCATCCAGATCCTCAGTGGGACCCGGGATCTCACGCCAAAAGTGAGATTCCTTGATGGGTAGTTGGATCTGTAGAAACTTCTCGTTGCCGATGGGTGGTCTCTGGCTGCCAGAAGAATTGTAGCGGTCCATAAGGATACATGCCCACATGGTACGTCGACGGATTTCTCTATCAGTACAGCTGAGCTCCGCGGAATTGCCACCTTGGCCTAGGGGGTCACGGTCAAGTTCCTTATGGAGCTGAAGGGCGTAGGCCATGCGCAGGGCCATTCCGCCGAACGACCAGCTTCGACCGCCATGACAAGCGCCAAATTCGTGAAGACCTAGTATGAGAAAAACGGTGAGAATGGTGATGTTTGGTTGATCGTGTCGAGCGAGGGCGATGTCTGCGGCGGCGTTGGCCCAGGACTCGCCTCTCAGGAAGGCCGGCTCGGTGCTGTTGACTTGTGGATGGGTAGAGAAGCGGGCAGCGACGGCGCAAATGGCAAGTGTAAGGACCGGCGGGACCGTATCCGCCTTGAGCTTGCGCATGAAGCTCGGCTTATGTAGTAGGAGGTAGGACTGGCCGTAGACGCAGTCAAAAAACACCTCTGCCAGGTGTTCCTGGAGCTCCATAGAAGGTAAAAATTCAACTCCTTGGGAGAGCAGTTTATGCTCCGTGTTGAGATGTAGCGGAGGCACATCCGACCGTATATCCTGCGCTTTTCCCGATGGGGCAACCCGTCCAGGTTGCACTGGTTGTGTATTTGACAGAGCCGTAGTGACGGGCTTTGTCCACTCGTTGAGCTCTGCACTGAAGGCCTCTGTGGCGGTCCGCTTCTTGAGGGCTGCACGAGCCGGGCGGGAGGCGTGCCCTGGTGGCAGAGGCTTGACGGTAGCTCTGCCGATGGCGACCATGTCTCGCTGCTCATCTTTGGGGATGGCCTTCATGACGCGTTCTTCCATACGCTTGAGACGCTTGTCCAGCATGGCCATGTAGTCCGTCCGCGGGGCGGCTTTTCTGGTGGTGACTTTGTATACGCACGGAATCCTCGACCGGTAGCAGTGCTTGCACGCGGGCTTCTCTCCTGAGCAGCGGATCTTCTTTCTGCGACAGACGATGCACGCGAGCGGTAGTCGCTTCCTTTCCTTGCCCGCCTTAGTCTTGAGCTCAGTCCACGGCCGCTCCTGTTCTGCATTATCATTGTGCTGTTCGGTTTGCTGTTCATTCTGCTGCTGCTGTTGCTGCTGTTGTAGATGTTGTGGCTGGTGTCCTGTCTCGTCTGTGAGACACGAGCCCGGGTTGTCGTACAGTGAACGGTAGACGTCCTGCTGGCGCTGTTCCTCTTCGGCCCCGACGCCAGTACTGCTGTCTCCAGCGAAGTCGTTGCGGCTGGTAGTACTGTAACCGGTATCATTCGTCGTAGTGTCGCTGGTGTTTGCCCGGAAGCCTGAGCCCGACACAGAGCCGGAAGCCATCGAGGAGGCCGCGGGCTCGTCCCCGTCGTCCCGCTGCAAATAAGTCAGATCGAGCCCCGAGGCCATTGTGCTGGATCACTGAGGCGCCTGGAGCATAGTAGTCCGGGTGAGGGAAGGGCTGAATGCTTTGGGCGATGTCGTAGGAGGCGGCGTGCAGATGTAGACGTCGTTCTAGTATTGCGCATGTAGAGAAGAAGGCTTCAGCGCCGCCATGGTCTTCCGTCCGGTTTCTTTTCTAAGTCGCTTTGTCTGCTTCTTCGTCCCTGCTTCGTACTTTTTGTGCTCCGACGCTCAACACTTCGTTCCTCTCTGGCCGACTTTCGCCTTCGTGAATGAGCAAGAAGCAGCAGAGGAACCTTTTGACTAAGGCAGCGCTATTTGGCTTGGCTTTCGTCTTTCTTTTCTTTTCTTCTTCCTTCGTCCTTTTTTTTTCCCTTGCGGCGCCCTTTTTCGAGAGGAGCCTTTGTTATGTACTCCGTACAGTTTGCGTTTCTTCTTCCGGGGGCTCGTTTTAGCTCGTTATGGCCGATGGTCGATGGGCGGACTTTCGAGCACTACGACGATGCTATCCCCCATACGCCCAGTAAGTCCGAGATGGCGTCGACACGCGGGTTCGGGAAACGTGGCTCGCATCCAGCGGCCACTCTTAGTTCGACAGGCGTGAAGACTTGCTGTCTCTTTTCTTTTTTGCCTGGGTGCGTAGGGAAGAGGGATGGGGGACCCGTCAGGTCAGGGATGATGCGAGCCCATGTCCCCATTTGAGTAGTCTAATATATACTTATAATATCAACAACGGCGTTGCTTTTTTTCTTTTCTTCTTTTTCAGTAACCTTTTGCTTCTTCGTCTGGCTGCCTCTTCGTCTTTTCTCTCGTCTAGCCACAGCTTTCCGGGGGCCGCCTTGGCTGCATGTGATTGCGGAATGCGAAGTTTCGATCTCTCTCTACAAGGATGTGTTAGTTAGTGGGTTACAAGGCAAGGTATACGGGGGGAAAGAGGCAGAAAGCTGCAGGAGGAAGATAGGAGGGACAGCACCCCCTACTCTGTAAAAGACATCGACATCAAAGAGCAGACTGGAAGATACACAGAACTGGAGAGAGGATATAGCTACCCCTTCGAGAGAGCGAGAGAGAGAATGAAAGAGTCCACCAGACAAGCTTCTCCCCATCCAAGGGTCAGCTCTCTTGTTCCTTTTTCCGCCTGGCCTGGAGATGCTCCGGTTGAATCAGATAATTGTATCACCATCTTGATACGCTCAGCTAGCCCGAAACACTATTCCAGCCTTTGTCTCGGGCCGTATTTCCTAGTAACACCGTAAAAGTATAGGAAAAAGGGAAAATGGAAAGAGGTAAAGGTTCAAGATGTCAATCATCAAGACGAGGTTCCTGGCATGCTCTTCTAGGGGATGCTGCCTGGAAGTTCCACGGGTGCTGCTGCTGGCGATGGTGAAGAAGCAAACATCTCGTTCGCGGCCGCAGAGCCCTGGAGCTCCCCAAGCTTGCGCCCACGGCCTTCCATCTCGAATATGGGCTGCTTCGGATTGTTTTCTGCGGGCATCTCTGCGGGTGGCCATTTTACCGGTGCCGGTGATGCCATGGTTGACACCGCTGCTGGCTGTGGTGGTCGTGCTGGCCGCGAGGCCGCGAGATACGATTCAATCTCTCTCTTTCTTCGCCGTCGACGGTAGAAATGCAGGAACCCGAGAGACACCAGAGTAATAAGGGCGAGCACAACGCCTATCCCGATGCCAGTCTTGCTGCCTACTGACAGGTCACTTGTGTCTCGCCCTGCGATCCGCCTGGTAGATGTCGACTTCGATGTCGATGTTGATGCCGATGCCAACGCTGAAACGCGAAACTCGTCTGATGATATGGCGTTCTCCTCGCGGCCACTGCCACTGTGTGTATAGCCGTTGCAGCTCGTGATATCGAACCTGAACCGCGTCGCCTTGCGCAGGACCTGCTCGGGGATGTCGATGTTCACTCTGTGGTCTTCGCGGCGGGAGACGTCAAGCCCAGCTATACACAAAAACGCCTGTTAACGCTGCTGCCGTTATAGCTGAACTGGCTGCTGCTAATAGTTATACGTATGAATACTCACTGGACAGAAGCTCGCCGTAGAGCCCATCGACGGCCACCAGCCAGAGACAGTGGTTCTTCCCGCCTGCGAGACAATGGTTGATGTAGCCTTCATCCCATCCGCCGTATTCCAACCTGGCCTCGCTGCCGTTGCTGTAACTCGTCTCTTCGCTGCCCTCTTGCAGCCTCCAGTGCGTCCGGCAGTCGCTAGACAGTCTCATCTTGGTAGATTTAAATAGCTAGCTATATACAATTGAGGTTGCCGTAGCCATTAAAGGGTACCGAGAAAGGGGATGAAGGGTACGGCGTATATATAATATGTGTGTATCTGGGACTGTTCTACCATGTTGGCGACGGAGATGCGTCTTCTCTTGCTTCCTACAGGGGCCCTTGAAGCCCTCGAGCGAATCCCAGGCCATCCTTAGATGTTGCTGTCTCTTCTCTTGCTCTCCTTTCAGGGGTTTCTTTGCTTCTTTGCTTCTTCGTCGTCCCCTTCTTCTTCTTCCAGGGATCTCGAAGGGCGCCACATCTGCGGTTAGTAAGAAATATGCATCAAACACGCCAACGACCAACGACACGAAACGACACATCCATGGAACGGCTTGAGGTACGTACCTATCCAGTGCATAAAAGACAGCGACGAAGACAGGGAAAAGAAGAAGAAGCAGAAGAGGAAGGATAGTAATAGGATATACTATGATTTCGATGCCCTATGTCAGGCGCAGGCCCGTCGTCCTCCTGCTCGCCCTGGCCCTCGCCTTCTTCCTGGTCAAAAACTTCCACCAGCCACCGTCGAGCACCAGCACCGGCACCAGCAGCACCGCATGGCCTCCCACAGGCACCGCGCCTGCAGAAGGGCCCTTCTCCTGGGCTCATGTACCCCAGAAATATGCAGTCCGGTCCATGATCAAGATGCCTCGTGGCGATCCCAGCAGCATTCCGCTGATTCAGCACCGTTTCTCGAACAAGGAGGGCGAGGATGCGCGCCGTCTGCAGCTTAGCCGACTCGAGGCCGTCAAGGGCAACTTTTCTCATGCATGGAACGGCTACAAGGCTCATGCATGGATGGCTGATGAGGTCGCCCCTTTGTCCGGCAAGGCATTGAACCCCTTTGGCGGTTGGGCGGCCTCCATGGTCGACGGGCTAGGTACGTACCTAAATCACCACTTCCGCCCCTTTTTCTTTCCTCATATATACGAGTTGAATGCTAACGGATATAGATACGCTATGGATCATGGGTCTATATGACGAGTTCGCTGAAGCAGTCAAGGCCATTGATGAGATTGACTTCAACAATTGTACAGTGGAGGAAGTCAATGTCTTTGAAACCACGATCCGCTACCTCGGTGGCCTGCTGGGCGCCTACGACGTAAGCGGGCAAAAGTACCCATCTCTGCTGCGCAAGGCAGTCGAGATAGGCCAGATGCTCTATGTGGCCTTCGACACACCCAATCGCATGCCCATTGCCCACTGGGACTTCAAGAAAGCTGCTGCCGGTGCCAGGCCTAAGGCTAGCGACCAGATGCTCGTTGCCGAGATAGGCTCTCTCACCATGGAGTTTACTCGACTTACCCAGCTCACTGGTGATCCGAAGTACTTTGACGCCGTGCAGCGGATCATGAATGCCCTAGAAAAACAACAGAGCAAAACCAAGCTCCCTGGCATGTGGCCATTTATGATCGATGCTCAGGCTATGAATTTTCGTGCTTCGAGTCGCTTTACCATCGGCGGCATGGCTGACTCCCTGTACGAGTATCTCCCCAAGGTACGTTTTACCAGGCCTTTGGTCGACTCAGCTCTAAGAGTACAAGTATTATAACCGTGCTAACAATAGCAGCAATATATCCTGCTAGGTGGAGCCTCCCAACAATATAAGAAGCTCTACAAGGGTGCATTTACCACCATGGACCGTAGCATCTTCTTCCGCCCCATGACAAAGCATGGTGAAGACATTCTCTTCCCTGGCGATGTCACTGCTAGCGAGAGCAAACGATTGTCCGAACTTCGCCCGGAGCCTACAGCTCAGCATCTAAGTTGCTTTGCGGGCGGGATGGTTGGTCTGGCAGCCAAGGCGTTTCAAAACGAGAAAGACATGGAAACGGCCAGGAAGCTTGTCGAGGGTTGTCTCTGGGCGTACGAAAAGAGCAGCATGGGAATTATGCCCGAGATCATGGTCACCGTCAGATGCGAGGACCGTAACGACTGCCCCTGGAACGAAGAGATATGGAAAAAGGCAATCGAAGATACGTCCTACACTGAGGGATCAAATATTGACGACTTTATTGCAGAGCACGGGTTGATGCCTGGATTTGTCAGGATTCCAGACAGGCGTTACATTCTCAGGTAAGAAGCTCTTCAACCACAGATTTTTACGCATGAAGTAACTAAACTTAACGCATAGACCTGAGGCCATTGAATCCATCTTCATCCTCTACCGCCTAACCGGAGACTCCTCCCTACTCGACAGAGCATGGAAGATGTTCGACACCATCGTCAAATACACGATCACCGACATTGCACATGCTGCCCTTGATGACTGCACGGTTCTCAAACCAACCAAATCAGACCGCATGGAATCCTTTTGGTTTGCCGAGACGCTCAAATACTTTTACCTTATCTTCTCCGAGCCGGACGTTGTCAGTCTTGACGAGTACGTGCTTAATACAGAGGCCCATCCATTTCGATACCGCTAAGCTTTTTAAGCTTCTAACGCTGCGCCTCAATGTCACGATGTCTCGTCTCCCCGAGCCGACTCGGCCGTCGATTAGTGGAAGATCCCCTGGCTGTGGGTTCAAATCAACTTTCCAGCTAACCAGCTCCATATAAGCAACCCGCTATCGTGGGTCCAGCTTCAGCTCCCCGTCAGGTCCTCGATCTTTCTCCCCCAGTTATATCGCGCTAAACCCAGGAGTTTCACCATGAGAAGAATGTTTGCTGAACTCACGGAGTACATGGATATACTTTCCCCCCTGGTTCAGCAGTTCCATCATGGTATAGTAGCACAAGCCGAAGGCCCATGTGAAGATCCCCATTCAACGGTCGGCCGAATAAGGAAACCCGAGATACACTTAGTAGCCGACGAACTGTGGTTCGGGCTAGTCCCTGAGCACGCCTTTTCAGTCAACATAAGCACTCCATACTTATACATGCTGCTAGAAGATATGGAACCCGTCACTCTGGAACCCCGGGGAGTCGGAATAGAGTTTCTGCAACACAGCAGCTCAGGAACATCTGGAAGACTGGCTGCTGTGGAGAAGACCCGTGGTCAAAACGAGCCGCCAGTGCTCCAACTCTTGCCCCATCGGGACAGGGAAGTCCGTTGTTATCGAATTCCCGTCAACACAACTTCTTCCTTGTTCACAGGCACGATTATAGCCGACTTGTCTTTGTATGTTCTTTCCCTTTACATTTTCCGCCCGATTATATCTCAAGCGGTCAAGCGAGATCATTTCTTGAACAACCTGTACATATATTCGCACCTAGACTTACATATCTATCACATGTCTCCCGGCGTTGGTGGTTGGAAAAATCGCGGTTTAGTTATATTATTCTGATTCAGGGTCTTCCCTGTACGCCAAAATATAAAACATACCACCCAACCAGCATGCTAGCCGTCCCTGAGCGAACTAGCCAGCTGTCTTCAACTCTGTGGGGAAAACAGCTAGTTAACGATTTCTCTCTTCCATGGCCACGACAGCATTTCCATCTTCATGTTTATGCCCATCTCTATCTCCAACGTTCAGGGGCTCGAACGCCATCCAAGCTCACACCCGGAACAACTCCGGCTAAGATATAGTTATTGCCCTTATTTTGCCTTTCCTTCTTTTCCATAGAGTTAACTACGGATACTTCCATAGTAGCGCAAAGCAAGCCATGGCCCGAAATACATCATTAGGCTTAGCAGAGTTCTCCGTTGGTTGCCCATTTTCGGATCACCCTAAAGCCACCAAAGCCTTGGTATCAAGCTGCAAGCAAACCAAGCATAGGGCTGAGCCTCGATGCTTTCCACGAAAAGTCTGCTGCCTGGTTGCCTTCGACGCCACTGCTATCATGTCCAATTAACTAGTTCGAACGTAACCTGAGCGCTTGGTTAAGTGGATGGATAGTAGCGCTGGTTCGTGGCGAGAACAATTTATTTATCGGACGACGAAGATCAGTTCACCGTAACTGTGTATTCGAGTCGGTGGGATGACGGTGGTGAGGTCTGTTCAATCACTAATCATTAGTGCCTGTCTGTTATTCCGTAGCTTGCCGCTGCGATCGTTACATCGGCGTAGGTACCTCTTAAGGTCTTTAAGATGGGGGTTCGGCCACTCAGCGTATCCCATTTTCGACGCTGTTTTAAGCCCATCGGACATCCGATCATGGACAACAGTCTGGGCTCGTGTTAATGTTTGACAGAATAGGCACAGACAACGTCAGTTTAAATAATTTAATGGCAATTGCCCGGATACTATCGAGACGTACTGTCCCCTTGAGGAGCATCTCACGGCTTTGGTCTACTCATCCAGACAAGACCTTTTATATTTCCCCCGTTGACGCGGAGCCACTTCATCGCTACCGAAAAGGCGGTTACCACCCAGCTGCCTTGGGAGAATACCTGAAAGCTGGAAGGTATAAAGTGCTACATAAATTAGGATGGGGAGGCTACTCGACAGTTTGGGCGGCGAGGGATCAAAGGTTGTACAAAATTGTGTGACTCTTGGTAGTTCTAGCTAAGGAGAAGTTGTCTGTTTGTAGGGAAGAGATATATGTTGCCGTCAAAATTTCTGTTGCAGAAAGGGATCATGGTAGGGAGACACGAATGAAAGAGCTGGCATCTCATCACTTTTGTCTGAAACATACAGTGCACATGCTTGATGACTTTGATCTAGAGGGCCCAAATGGATCTCATAAATGCCTAGTTTATGAGCTTCTGGGGCCTAACATTCCGGACACAATTGATGCACATTTCCCTGATGGGAGACTCCCTGGGAAGCTCGCCAAAGTCATTGCGAAGCAGAGTCTTATTGGGCTTGATAGCTTGCACCAACATAATATTGGACACGGAGGTAGGTCACTCTCTTGTGGATATTTTGAACAATTCTCACCTAGTGTATAGATCTGCATACCCGCAATTTGGCCTTCACTATGCAAAGCATGGACAATGTAATTGAAGAGGGGTTTACCGAAATGCTAGGAAGGCCAAAAATCGGCTATGTCCGAAGGAGCGATGGGAAAGACCTGGAGCCTGGCATACCCGAGTATATCGTTAAGCCTACCTCATATCGGACGCATTCTTGGAATTCGGCCCAGTCGATCAAAATAATCGACTTTGGGGGATCATTTTTACCCACTGCAGTTCCTCAAACACTACACACACCTCTAGCTGTTCGGGCACCTGAAGTGATATTTCAAGATCGCATTGATCATCGTGTTGACTTGTGGAGCATGGGGTGCATGGTGGGTGAAACCACCCGAGTCCAAACGCTAACTAGTTATACAACGGTAAACTAATAGATAGGTATAACAGCTCTTTGAACTTTTCACGGGCCAGCCGCCTTTCGACACCTTTTTGATAACGCCCACAATTCTTGTTGGTCAAATGCGAGTGATGGCAAGCGATGACCTACCTGAAAGATGGCAAGGGATATGGGATACAATGAACGCAGGGACGGCAGAGCCACAGAAAACACCGGACCCAGCTTGCAGGAATGGCTGGAAGAAGTGTACTTTGAAGGCCAGGAGTGTCCCGATCTCACAAGAGGGGATATAGTGAGGCTGGGGCAAATAATTGGAAAGCTATTGCAGTTTGAGCCGTCTGCAAGAGCGTCAGTGAGACAAGTTCTAGATGACCCTTGGTTTAATGAGTGATTAGCCTACGCCGCCCTTGTAGGTCGATGAGACAATTCCGGAAGTTCCAAATTATGAATTAGAACTCGGAGTTGGCTGTAAGAGTCGCGCATTCCAAAGAGTTGCATGAAGAATTCGGTTGTGAGGTTGAAATTGTGAGACGACTTGGGGAAATTTTGATGAAAGGATGTGGCCCAACTATACTAAAACTCGGTACCGGGCTTGCGACCTGTTAGCTTCGTCAACAAGCTCATGGCCGGAGTACCTAGTACTCCATAGAGAAAAGAAGTAGACGAAACAAAACAAGCTACCGGCCAGAGTAACAACTAGGCCCAATCCGATCTCCTGTTCACATGTCAGTCCCAATCGTGCTGGTGAGGAGGAGAGAGCAGGGATCATGGAAGCATCCAGAGTACTGTATGATGAATTAAAGCAAGCCAAACGTCGTCAAAACTCCTTCCATGAGGCGAAAGATATCGGAAAGAAGTGCCCTCCTAAAGAGCAGATCATTTGACGAATCGACTGTTTCATGCCCCGTCAGGGGCTGCCACGAGAGGGGCGATCTACAGGATAGGGAGTCCGATGCAGGGGGATATATTCTCCGTCGAGGCTTAGGAGTGCGTGATCGGATAACTAGTTGGATCATCGCGCTACCCAGAGGTACCTAGGTACTTCTTACGAAGGTGGATGGAGCAAGCTAGGAACGGAGCAAGAAAAGCGATGGAGTCTTGCCTTAACAATGGAGGAAGAAGCCCACTTCCCGGGCTATCGCCTAACCAGTCAACTAACTATGGACACTACTAAAATGGATATAAAAAAGCAAAAAGGGGATGTGGAATCAAGAAGGGAATGGAGAAACGCTCTGGATGATGAAATTACGCTAAACAGGGAACATCAGAGAGCTTCGATCTCACGCCAGATTTGGTGCTGGCAGTGGTGCTTGAAGCGGTAGCTTTCGAGAAGAGCTTCCTACGTAAACGATTTTCGGGTGCTCGGTCATGACCCAGTCTTGACTTGCTGGGTCCCAGTTGGAAACATCACGTCGTGTAAGGGTGGTTCTCCACCGGAATCGCTGGCCTGGAGCTAATCGGATACGATCGAATCCGCGAAGAACGATCTTTGCATTTCGATGGCCACCAAGCGAGACATACTGTGAAGGATTCAATGTTAGCTGCGATGATTGCCTATGAGAGATATACGGGAGAAAAAAGGGCTACATACCAGCTGTGGGACTTCCTCGCCTACTCTGTCTCCCTCATTGGTGATGATAGCTGAGACCTCATACAAGTCCTCAAACAGGCCAGGGTTTCCTCCAGGAACACCACTGGCGGGGAGAACGGGCTGTGCATTGCCGTTGTTTGCATTTGGAGGTACATAGTCCTCGATGGGCAGTCCGTAATTCTTGTCTCCGGACGCCTCCTTGGGATCAGTCGACATGAGCCAGGGGTAAATGTATTTTGTTACCCCCTTGAAGCCACCAGGGAACAAGTAATCGGCATAGTTGGTTGAAGAATGGCCCAGTCGTGGTGCTGGCTTTGTCATGCCGGTAGCAGGCACGTACTTATTGGCACGCATCGGTCTTACTCTCAGGTTCGAGTAGGAGAAGGTAGTATAACTCAAGCCATATCCAAACTCATAGACAGGAGTGATATTCTCCTTGTCAAAATGCCTGTACTCGAAGAAGATACCCTCTGAGAAAACTTGTTGCGGTGCACCCTTTCCGTTATTTGGTTCCCTCAAGATTGTGGTGCCATAGTCTTCAGCAGTCCTAGCCCAGGTAAATGGCGATTTACCGCCAGGACTCTCTTTACCGTATAGGATATCAACCAAGGCATTTCCACTTTCCTGGCCCGGGAGACCTGCCCATAGAATGGCAGTGATGTTTGGATTATCATGCCACTCTCCAGCCAGGATTGGACCACTGGAATGGATGACAAGTACAGTGTTGTTGCACACAGAAGTCACCTGCTTGACCATCTCTTCACCTCCCTTCCAGGCAGTCAGGTTCTTTCGGTCACCTTCGTTGCCATCAACGGAAATATACCCCTCACCAGAATTCGAGTTAATGAAAACCAAAGAAACGTCTGCCTGACCAGCAACTGATTGAATGTTTTTAAAGTCACCGTTCTGGAGAACAGACATGACGTTTCCAACACCCTTGGAAACGATTTCACGTTGAATAGCGTCGTCCGGAGTCACGAGATAAGGGAAGTTTGTCGTTCCACTGCCCCATCCCATGGCAAGGGTTCCGTTGTCACAGCCGCGGTCAGGGCAGCTGTTTGGACCGTTGAGATTAGGGCCAGCGCCCTCTCCGATGATAGCTGTAAACTGCTCTTTTCCAGTGAGGGGGAGGACGCCTTCGTTCTTTAGAAGAACGGTGCTATCCCTGGCCACACGACGGGCAATATGCGCATGATGATCACGTACATTCACTCTCTCGTTGACTACTCCATATCCTTCCTGTACGAGTGCATGCTGGTAGCCCTCGACATTGGTGGTCCATGAGTTAAAGTTGATGGGAACTTGGACTTTATCACGGCCAACTTTGTAGTAGGCAGCCATGATACGGACGGCCATGTCATCGACTCTCCATTCGGGAATGGTCCCGTTGGCAACGGCAATCGTGAGATTAGCACCCCAGAAGGAAACACCTGTGCCAAACAAAGTGTCACCGGGCATAGACATGTCCAATCCAGCGAAGGCGGAACCAACACCGCTGTGGTGTGCTTGCCAGTCAGACAAGATGAAGCCACGGAATCCAAGTTCACCCTTGAGTAGCTTGTTCTGCGTGTAACTATTTCCACAGCCATAGCTGTTGTTGATTTGGTTGTAGGAGCACATTATTGAACCCACTCCAGCTTTGACAGCATCAGCAAAAGGCCTACGATATAACTAGTGGTTAGCAAAGTATGCCTCTGAGAGTTATCGTCCAAACCGAGGCCTTACCATAGGTAAATCTCATGCATTGTCACGTCATCGACGTTAGAGCTTAAACTCTCCGAAATATCAAACCCATATCCCTGAGCTTCGGCAGCAATCCGGAACCGTTCTTGCTCATTGGCAATAAAGTGCTTTGCGCATGCAATCACACCTTGCTTCTGCATACCCTTGATAGTTTCCGCGACGAGCTGACCTGCAAGGACGGGGTCAGGCCCAAGACCTTCCCAGTTGCGGCCTCCCTCTGGTGCCCGCCCTATTGGGCCAATTGCTGGTCCAAGTATTATATCTGCACCCTTATCACGGAATTCCTCTCCCATAGCTTTTCCTCGGAGATAGGCTAGCTCTTTGCTCCATGTGGCAGCAACATTGATTCCGGCTGGGAACGCAGTAACATAGTCACCTATTAATGGTAGATAGAAGTTAGTATGCAGGTTTGATGAAAAGTAGCGTGCGGAATAGCTCCCATACCGAATCTAATACCAAGGGGACCATCCTGTAGACACAGGGAACGGAAACCGAGACGAGGAATTGAGCCAACTTGACCAACGCAGGACTCTTGCATCCATCTATCAAGCAGTTAGCTGTTTTATCCCATCTCCATCTGCTTTGCTTTCCCCCTATAAATCCTCATGGCAAAATCATACCCAACGCCAGTCGTCAAGTTAACTTTCTCAGCCAACGTGAGCTGGGAGACAAAGGCAACAGCCTTTTGATAAGCATCTTCCCACACTCCCTCTCCTTGAGTCCACGGTGACGGATAGTACGGCGGCGAGTTCCAGCTCTCCTGCTCAGTAACGCACCTCAGGTCAGCATCTGCTCTCGCTCAACATCACAGTGTCTGGCTGGCTATTAGCCTTTCATGGCTACCCCGTACCTCTGCGGCAGCTATGCCGGAAGAGATGGCGAGAGCCACTAAGGGGCACCACCGAAACAACATCGCGAGCTTAGTTACTCTGTCGTTAACTAACTAGCCAAACAACAACTATCGAGACTGCCCGACTCGTCACTGTCGACGTTCGCGCGGGAGGGTAGAAATGTGACGTTGTCACTTCGACGGCATCGAAGAACTGAAGACATCCCTGAGAACGCGAAGACCGGAAGTGACATCAATATATAGCTTTCCTTTATTTTTATTTTTATTTTGCTTGACCATCCCTCTAGCTCAGTGACGATCTACTGTAGCTTCTCGCAAACAGCAAATAAACCAACGACGCCACGGTGGGGAAGAGCGACGCCCAGCATGCCATCGTTTCCAGCAACAACCTGCTTCGTCCCCTATTCCACTCCATGGACAAGCCTGCCCCTTGCCGCCTGGACGACAGGGCCGGTACTTCGCCTGATGTGCGAGCGCCCACTGGGTAACAAGTCACTCTGCCGCAAGCCCCAATCTCCGCTGATCTGCACTGTTCCACCTCGGCCATTTCTAACTAGTGCGCAACCTGACAAGAGCCTGCTTCCGGCTTGCTTCCAGCCAGCCCAGGCCCCTTTGGATGTTGTCGTATATTAATTGCTGGCATCGCAGGATCAAACCGCAAGGTGTGCACAGTCCTGCGACCCTTGTCAATGAGACATTGCTCGCAGTCAGCTGGCATTTATTTGCCTTCAGGTGTCTTGATGTGTCTGCTTTCAGCGCAAGCTACCTTATAGTTACCCTGGGAGGTGCCGAAGTTTCTGCTTGCATCCCTGTCCCCCGGTCCAATTAGCAACATCACAGTCACCAAGAAAAGGTGACCAGGTTTAGCTTATCAAACTGGAAAATTGGCTGCCGGCAGAGCATCGGATGCCTAAGTACGCTTCCAGGCAGCATTTGTGGCATAACCGAGGTCGTCGTCTTCTTCGAAGCCTTTTTCCTGGTTACAAGAGCGGTGGTACAAAGTGTGTGATATCTCAACACTTGATATACCAACCGTGTTCTCTCTATACTCAACTAAAGCCGTTAGCTTCAAACCCGTATCTGATACTCCGCACAGTCTTCCTTATTCCTCGCTTTCTCTCTCTCTCTCTCGACCCCGCATGTCGAACAGCTCGACCATTTTGTAACCGTAGCATTTTTGTGTCGCACCGTTTTTCTTATATCTCAGGCCTGAGCCCCGGGGTTTGGCGGTGCTGAGAAGCAATTTCGGCATCGTATACTTTGTTACCCCGCCGTCTAAGGTCCTGCATGACCCCATACCCATGACCAGCAACGTTGATATAATATTTATGCAATATCGCAACCCTTTCATTTAACCATCGGCAGGTTCTTTGAAGCTGTCAGATGAACCGAACATAAGATGAATGTGCAAGGCGAAAAAGTTTACATTTTCGGGTCGGCCTTAATAACCATGTCACGGTGATTATGAGCCGGGCCGCTTTGTCAGTGGGAAAAACTGCTTGCGTTTTGATAAGTGCTGAGTCCAAGGCCTACACATATCGCCGTATATCGACCTCATGCCTGTTTGATGGCTTGTAGATGCGACGTTAACGGTCGAAAATCAAACTACCCTTCATTCATAGAGAAGTCGATTAAATTCATACTCGCTAGTTCATGCGCATTAAGAAGATTTAGAAAAGTTCATCTTTACCTTGAAATGGCCAGCCTTTTACGATCTTGTAAACCTCGTCAGGATCAACATCATTGATGAATGTTTCCTTGAGCTCCTTATTCTCTTACATGGCATGATCGAACATTTCTAGTTTTATTAATCCACTAAGCCCACCAAGCTCATCACGCCAAATAGTTTACAAGGGAACCCTGTAGAGCGATAAGGTTCCCACTCCATTGGCGCCTTGCGTAGTCAACCAAAGGCTGTTGAGGTTGTAGTATAGGGACATAGAAAGTAGAGAGATGTCTTTATTCCGAGCTCCGTTGAAAACGCGATACAGATGATAAAGATAACGTCATCTGAGCAGCTCACCAACCTGGCTTTTTGTTTCGACATCATATCCCTCTGGGTGTTTGGGTGTCTAGCGTTCCTGGTGGTTCTACATCAGGGTTTTCAAACATCTTTGGATGCCCAGCAGCGAGCAGGAACGGGGTAATAGCTGCATATTGCCAGTCAATGATGCAAATAGTTCCAAATGTATCGGGAGACACGAAAACATAAGTAGGCGTAAGGTCTACGCTAGTTTTCAGCATTGCTAAAGCCAGGAAAACCCGCAGAAATCCAACATACTAGGGTGGCGCAATGTTGGTTGATTACCTACAAAATTTAGAGGATCTTTAGGAAGAAGAAATGGGGCAATTTCCAAGTATTTTTTGGAGCAGGGCAGCATAACGATCATGAGATGGTTCCGGAAAGGATCACGTTGTAAGGAAGGTCCTTTTCAAGGGCCTCTCCGTACTTTTTTGTTCATTCTAATTCACACTTCCCAATTGCACTGAGATATTGACACGGATTGCTCCCTATGAGAAACTTGAGATGATTAGGTCAAGTAGCTAATCAGTCACTGAACAATAGTAGATACTGAAATTCCTAGAAACAGCCTGTTTAGGAAGACGAGCCAAGGGTATTGCTAAGGCGCGACAAAACACGAAGCCCAGCAAATTCATATAGACTTATATTCTGGAACACTGCAGCTTAGGCTTTGGCGGTGTTGAAAGTATTAGCGAAACACAAACACGATTGGGGAATAACCGCAAACAAAAAATAAAGTTGTTATTCTCATGGAACCTCAGGTCAGGTGTTTCTGGATCATAGTTAATCCGCGGCTCTCCCTGTCAAGAGCTTGGGCCTTCTTGAAACACTTTAACTTTATTCTTTTTTCTTGGCTATAAAAGTTTGCTTTGGCTTCTTGTCCAGCACATACGGTCACAGGAAGTGGAAAACAGAGCTTCCCGTCCGCTCAGCTGTACTTAAGCCACTTGCCGGTCGGTTAGTAGTTGGGTGGGTGACCACCAGCGAATCCCGACTATCGTATGTTTTTGCTATTATTTTTTTCATTCCAACCCGCTGTTTGACTCTTGTTCCTTTTCGTTGCCTTTCGAACTGTGGATGGATGGATCATTTACCTGATAATAATAAGACTTCCCCAGCCGAAGTTGCTAATGAAACTCCTTGAGCTTTGTCCTCCTCCATACTTCATCTTATCAATTCCTATCTATAACCATGAATTCTCGCATCCAACCTTATAAAATCCCCAAGAAACTTTTGCTCGCCGAAAATAACTTGTGGCTTTGAGCTTGCAAATTTCTAGCGAGCTCGGAGTATAACAACATCAAGTTACTTGGGGTTATTTTATCCCTGGATTAATGAAGGAATATCTATTAAATATAGGCTTTTAATTTTTGCATTCCCTCCTCCATGGCTTATCTTAGAAACAAGTATATAACTAACTAGGTAGCTTGGTTCTCTTGTTTCAAACCTGAGTGCTATGAAGACTTATGATGTCATCTTTTTAAAGATATTTGGAGGCCATAGTTAATTAACTACAACTAGTCAATGTATTAGTTAAGCAAATGCAAAAGGCACTTGCACTCAGCTACATGAGAGGCAGAGCTTGTTTGTGACTACGTGCTTATTCCAGAGACATACTCACCTTCCAATTACTTCCCTAACAGCTCTGAGTTTCCAGTAACTGATATCACAGAGACTTGCTACAAGGAATAGAATAGTATAGTATAGTATGAAATTGAATGACTTCAGCATGTCGAAATGAAGATATAAATCGGGCCCATTCCTCAGTTTTGGGCTTCTCATTCTTAGCAAGTTAACCTTCCTCAATACAGCAATATTACCGTTTCCTACTACCACTTGACTATAATCTACCGTATTGATTCGGTTATTTTTGGTACTCCATTCTGTACGGTAGATACCTTCAATTTCTCTGAACATATCAAGATCAACATTAGCAATGTCTCCGGGAAGCGCAAAGCAGGATAAGGGAAAGCAGCCTAACAAGGCTAAATTTACGCCTGAGAAACTCAACTCTTTCGCACACGCAGATATTGAATACCATAAGTTGGAGTATGCCAAGTATGTCCAAGCAGCGAAGCATTACCAGGAGGAATGGAGATCTAGCATGATGGCCGATCTACCATTCAGACAGTAGGTTCAACTTCAAAGCTTGACCATCAATCTCCTTAATAGAAATCCCGCTACTAGGCCCCTTGGTTTAATATATGTGATTGAATAGCTAATATAGCGACAAGGGCTTAAGAAAGAATATCATCGCAATGCAGCCAGAACAGCTATTAGCGCAAATATCATCTCAAGCATGGAAAAGCTGCGTTCTAGTGAGTTCATACTAGCAAGCTATTGAATTTTTCTGGACTTTATCTTAAAAGCGAGTTAATTCTTTTACTAATATAAGGTTAGCAGATCAACAACCCAAGAAATGACTATGTAAATAACCTTCCAAGTTCCAACTAACAAAGTTATGTGGTCTGCCTTTCCCTAGTCGGGGATCAATAGATACTTAGAGTGGGCTGGAGTTGGAAGTTGCTTGTTTGCATATTAGCCGGGAGTTGGATAACTTAGGGGAAAGTGGCATTCTGACATCATGTTTTTTGCTTCCGTGGCTAATCACAATATCTGCAAAGTAGTTTCCCACATTACCCTTGCATTCTTCGGGATATTAGGCGAGTTTCTAGATATTTGGAAATGTGCCTGTAGAAATTGGCAAGTCATGGATGCTTTGTATATCTAAAGAAACAAGGGTAGCAAAAGCGACGGCTAGGCCATAAAATAAGTCCCTGTAGATAACGCGTTTTAATCCCAAAAAAGACTCTTAGTCAGAGTCTAGCTTCTATGCCATTTGCCCAGAGCTGCTCGCTTCCCACATCTCATGCATTTTTTTCTGCCTTTCCCATTCTTTTCTAAGCTTCTTGCTACGGCTTTTGGTAATATCTTTCCCTTCCGAATCCTTCGTTGGTATACCATCTGCATCCCACGCGCTGAAATCCTCAGTCCGAAACATCTCAGCAGGGCTAAGCTTCCCCCTGTCTAATTTTTCAAGTAGTCTCCGTTCCTCATCCTCTCTGCGCTTTTGCGATTCCAGCTTTTGTTCGGATTGTTTTTGGCGGGCACAAATGAGGTCCCTAGTGACTGGGCGGATTATAGCATGCTCATTTCCTTGGTCCTCCAGATAGACCCCCAGGTCAAACAAATCAACATCTCGGATCTGATCGCATGCCATTAGCAGTTGATTTGGACTTATCTCGGAACAATTGAAATTCATATATTCGATTCTGTCCTTAAAACTTCTGAGAACCGTAATAAATGGAAGCGCTATATCTGATATGGATGGCCCAAAGTCTTCCATTGAGTCAGTAATACCGCGGAGAGCTTCTGGGGGAATACGGGATTTCGACATGGCAAGACGACGGATTGAGTCTCGTGAGGTGGAAAGGGCATTTAAATACGGCATCGCACATTCTGGAACATCAATACCAGCCCAGCCTATTTCAGGGTCCTCGGGGGAAGCGTCGCCGTTTAGCCCAAATACGTTGACCATGGACGTAATCCATTTAGCAGCGTTCTGAAGAATTACGTTGTTCAACTTGGGAGGTTCGGCACTATTGAAAACAGTCACGAGTTCTGTTATAGCACTCATCGCAGTAGGCGTGTCGAACGAGTTGCACAGAGCATTGAAAACTTTGTCTTGAGCGAATTTGAGATGCGTTTCTAGGGCATCACAACGATTGTTGGGGGCTTCACTTGCTAGTTTATGTAAAGCCTTAAAATTCCTCGACTTCAAAAAGAAATTGTTCAGCTTTTCTTCCCAGGCACGTGAAGCATCAACCATATCTGTTGTGATTTCAATCCCTTCTCGCCAGCCACTAAGGAGGAAAACAATTCTCAGGTTTCGAGAGGTCCAGGTACCTCTGTCGAGTGCCTCCCTAATGGTGGTAAAATTCTTTAGGGATTTGGACATTTTTGAGCCCTGAATGGAGAGATGGCCCATATGAAGGAAGTAATTAACCCATTGAGTTCCTCCCCAGAATGCTTCGCTCTGGGCAAGTTCATTGTCATGGTGGGGGAAGGCAAGATCAATGCCACCGGAATGAATATCCATTTGGCTGCCAAAGTTAGCGGATGCCATTGCAGAGCATTCGATATGCCATCCGGGTCGGCCGTTACCCCAAGGGCTGGGCCAACTGGGCTCCCCCGGTCTAGATGCTTTCCAGAGAACAAAATCATTCCTAGAAAGCTTTGATGTAGCGCCTTTGGACAAGGAGCCTTCCCCATCCCTTTGGAGGTGTTTATTATGTCGATTCCAGGGCTCTAGCTTTGCGTAATAATGCCCGCTTTCCTCAAATTTGTTGATATTGAAATAAACAGATCCATCCGGAGTTGAATATGCAAAACCATTCCCAATAATTGTTTTCACAAATTGGATTATTTCGGATATATGTGTAGTCACCTTCGTTAGTTTGTCTGGTTCAAGGACATTTAAACATCGCATATCTTCAAGAAATCGGCTTTCATAATTCTTGGTCAGTGCCTCGAATAAGGAGTAGTCAGTACTGCAAATGGATGAGCAGCCGATGCAATCAAGATAGATAAGGAATACATCTTTACAAGCTTCATAGAAGGCTTCATTTGTGCGTTGCGTGTTCACACTTGAATATGACGGAGCATTCATTCCAAGCGAATTTCCCGGCTCGATAGATTTTTTATGCCCCTCAAGTGCTTTGGCTATAGCCGCTCCAGCTTGAGATTCGCTCTTGATACTCATCTTGATTTTAGCTTCATCAGACCCCGGTTTCTTGTTCCCTTCGAGGGTACCTCCATTGAAGATAAACGCATACGTCTTTTCAGCCTGCTCCTGGAAGTCTGATGGGGGGAGTCTCGGCACTTAAAAGGGGTAGTTGCTTTTTCACAAAAGTCGAGAACGCTAGCAGAGCGGTCTGTAGAACATCCGCATCTATGTCCGGGTGTTTGTCTTTGTATTCAGCAAAGAGGTGTTGCTGCCGGGCCCTAATAATTATCTAATGTGACATCAGTAAGTTCTTAGTATGTGTATGTCAAGAAATATACCAAATATAGAGGTGCCAATCCGTTTCTCCATACCTTGTTGTCCACATCGGTAATGTTCATGATAAAATTGACGTCGAACTTGAAGTAGTCACGCATAATACGGCGCAGTATATCGGTTGTAACATAGTTCCTGGCGTGCCCTAGATGAGCATCATCATAGACAGTCGGTCCACAAGCATACCAAGTCACTTTTTGACCATTTGGGTCCGCTGGAACGAAATGTGTCTTTGAACGAGTTAGAGAATTCCATACTCTCAAGGGTGGCAGAGAACGGTTTGGACAGGTTGGAGGCTCCTGCCAGTTGGGCTGTCCATCCACGGTAGACATGTTTTCATAACAGTAACCTAGACCCAATACTTAGTAATAGAGACTGGGTGGTATTCTCAGATGTTGTTGATGTTTCTGGAATGAGATCCATCGTGGAGGATTCAATTCGGGCTCGCTCAATGTTTGTGAATCGACATTAGTTACAAAAGTAGGCTCCACTCGTTATCTCAGTTTCAAGTGAATTTTTTTGAGATGTGTCTTCAGCAAGCGGCAGTCTCTGTAGCAAACTACATGGCTTAGAGCTTCTCTTTATATCTAAAAAACTGACTGATACCGACGTTAAGTGATATTTTAGCGTTTTTATGGAGTCGTCTCCAGCCAGTTGTTACGTGATATTCGCTGTCAGGTGGGCCGCCGGGGGGATCAAAAATTAGTCATCAAACCTAGTCGACTTGGCCGGTTTAAGCCGACTGGACCAACCTTAGCGTCATCGCCATCATCACCATCATCATCACCATCAAAAAACCAAGGGGTCTGTGGTTGCTGGCCGTGAAGGCATCTCCCGATCAACTAGCTATACGGAGTAATTGATGACCTGTTTCGATGGTGGGCACACGCCAGCACCCTGAGGATTTTCCTCCTCCCGCTCTCTCCAGCTCCCGCTCCGATACCCGCCAGACGGCTACGCGCAGGCAGCTGAACCAATGGGCCCACTCTCCATCACCTATCGTGCAGCTTTGGCTGGTACTCTCGCTTCCAGTGGTCCTGTGGGATACGGGTTATGTCCTCTTGCGACCACACAGTATGCCTGGGGGGGCCTACCACCACTTTTGGTCACCCTATGCACTCTATGGGACGATTGATTACATTTACGGCTGGCCAGCTTTCAACTCTCGAAACGGATTCACATCCGCACAGGCTACTTCAAATATCATCGAGACTGCATTGTATACGTATTACCTTTTCCTTGTCTGGACCCAAGCCAAGCCGGTTTCCGTTGCTCGTAATTCGGGAAAATCATCTAAAGGAGCAAGTGGATGGTCTATCTTGCAGAAAAAGTCTGTGACAGGGACAGCAGGTGCTTATGCATTACTGGTCATATTTAGCGCCAGCCTCATGACCTTGAGCAAAACAGTACTTTACGGTAAGTGCTTTGAATAACTCTTCGATATCCGGCACCTAGAAGCACTTTGGAACTTTTCAAATATATTGTGGCTGCCCTAGATGCACGAATTATATCTAACAATATAGCAAAGGGCTCAACGAGATATACTCTGGATTTGATAACATCGGACATAATGATATGTTTACCTTAGCCTTTCTATGGATATTACCAAAGTGAGTCACCGTGAATTTCACAAGCACATTGTCTACGCGTGAAATGTCACAGTTTTCTATTCCGTGTAACATTGCTTACAGCTATTTGCTTTTTATTTACTTTAGTGGACTGTGGATTTTATTCCCAACTTTCGCAACTTTTCTCCACGGGAAGGAAATCATAAGCTCCTTGGAAACGGCTAGTGTCGAGGCTAACCCGAAGCCAAAGTCATACTAAGAGCAACATTTGTTACAAAACAAACAGATATTTGCTAAAGTACTTGGTACCTCTCTCTCTCTGTTTTTTTGTGATACCTAAGTACTGGATTTTTTTTCGCTGTTCCCCGATGCATTGGCCTACCAAATAGTTACTTCGTACATACCAACTTTTATAGGAGATGACTTTGACTGGCGCCTGGGGTGTTGTATGGAGTACTTCAGCGACCACATGAACCTTCTATCCGACAATCTAACAACAATTATGATGAAAGTTTTTTCTAGATGTGATATTAGACTGCTTCATAGATTGATATGATGGCTACACTACCCTGGTATGGTATGATTTCCTATCCTCCCCTTTACAATATAGCTAGCACCAGTGAACACCGAACATTCCTTACGATCAGCGGAGTCTATCAAGAAACGAACCAGGCTGTGTTTAAGTGCGTTTGCACCGTACGCCCCGTCCATACTACTCCACCCGGTTAAGTTGGAAGATCCCGCTCCAAGATATTATATTCCCTTTTTCTCCCCTTTTTCTCCCCACGTTCTGGGTAACGGAACTTTCGATTCTCAATCGGACTTACGTCGGTTATTGGTCGCATATTGTTTTGATGGGGTTTGAAAGCTGCCATAGTTACACGGTAAAAACGAGGAAACCGGGGCAATCCACGCTTAGAATGACGGCGTAAAAGGCAGTACATGACTGAAAAAGGTTGAACAAATCGACATGCTGTAGGAATTGAAGAAGCAATATCATTCGTAGGTTTTTGGCGGAACTAGAACTGGCGGCCCGGACTGCCAGGCTATTGGGTCGAGGGACGCAATCAAAATCGCATATCATCCTTTGACACCGGCGCCAACAATGCCAGACACAATCTTCCAACCCGACGGATCTCGAATGCCATTCTTCAGTAGCCGACCTGAACTTTAATTCTGAATTCCCGATAATCAGTGAAGAAGGCTGAAAGAAGTGTATTAACTCATAGGTAGATGAGATACATATACGAGTCCTATCAGAAAAAACAAGGGCTTTGGATTGACGGATCTGCCGGCCCCGGAATACTCCGTACGTCTCGCCAATCCATCCACGTTTCCATGAGGCACAATGCTCCACCCGCTGTACTTAGGGCAAACTTCAAAACGCATCCGGGGTGACAGATTGGGCAGAGTGCTGGAAGGTCGCCATGTACCACCCTTGAACAGCCCGCTTATCACTTACAGGTCACCTGCACCTCGCCATCTTGACAGCCTGGCGATCGATACGGAGTAACTTGCCCTCATACGTCTGCTATTTTTGCTTTTGAGATGACTTGGGCGGGCTAGGACCGGGAAAGCGATCCTGTATCATGCATTAGCATATGTGCGTTGGAAGGGTCTGTGAACTCGAGTGCACAAACGTTGTAATAGGATATCCTATTATGTTCAGGGTGCTGAATGATTTCAAACCATCAACACACAACAACATCACACCTTTCCTGAACCTACCTTCCTAGTTGGACAAGGGAATTATTCGGGTTACTCGGACTGAACAACAACCAATCCTCTCCAGTCTCCTTATTTCTCCCATATCCCACTCTTACGGCTCCCAGCGTCCTGTCCCAATTGGTCCCAAGCACTCGGGACGAAAAAAAGCAAGCACCTGGTACAGAGCACAAGGATCACAGAAACCTCACTCCAGGGGATCCCCTCGTTCTGTTTCCCCCCTGTTTGCACCATCGAAAGGGGCCAGGTATTGTTCCTGCCATCTGGTTTCTTTGTTTGGACATGGAGCGGCCCTGCCTATCAGACTCCAGGGATGCCGCCCATGCTCATTCCCTTATATACTGTCTTCGTTACGGAGTACTCTTACCACATGATCCCTAGACACCCACCTGTTTCCCTGCATAAAAGCTCCTAATTTTGTTGGTGGTATTCATTTTCCATCGTGTTCCGCTCAACCAGAGCCCGGGTTATTTTCAATAGGGATTTCCTGGCACTATCAATGTTCGGTGCCGTCAAACTTCTCTTTTTCGAGGTATTGGAGCACATTTAATAAACTCTCAAGAGAGATTATGTAACGTCTCCTGCATGCACCATTCACCGAGAGGGGAAATATTATCACACTAATAGGCTGGCAAAGAGGCGGCGTGCATGCACGAAGCCGTCACTGGTACCTTGGGCCGAAGTAAGGGAAACCGCCTTTTCTACCACTTTTTATATGCCCTGTGTGCCTGTACTATGGCTGGTTGGGCGGTGAACATACACACCCGCAATAGAAGTACAGACCCAACCCCCTCAAAAACTACCACATGCAGTGAGAGAAAAACATGGAAAGGGGCAGTGCAGAATATCCCAATATTTTTCCTGTTGACTGTTGACTGTTGACTGTTGGTCTCGCTGGTTAACGTATTTTAAATGTTCTGCGTTTATTTCTAACCAGGGAAAACATCCTTGCATGCTTTAACACCAATTGCTTTTCTTGTAGGTCCAGCTCCCCTTCCTACGCAGTTTGTCCTATTTTTACGCTTCATACGTATGTCTATCGTCTCTGATAGGGTTGTGTGGAGTACTCCGTAGTTAACCCAAAAATAAAGGTTGCGAGAAATCCAAAGAGCATGTAAGGTACCGCCATTCTGGATGAAGCTGACGTGGGTAAGATGCTAACAAGTGATAGGAAGCCAAGTACCATATATATCAAGGGTAAGCCCCCTCAGCTTGGCCTGCTATACCTGCAGGTCATTAACCCAGATTAGGCGGGTGTATGTACATGAAATGACGGGAACTGGAAAAATAAATTGCTTCCCAGCTAGCCTGGCATATCCAAGGGTAGAATTATATTAGCGCACACGTAGCGTTAAATCCGTGTGGCGGGGGTTCAGTTTTGTTTGGGACCGTAGATGCCCCCTAATTGGTGATGTGCTGGCGAGATAGTAAGGATTCTGCTCCTTACGCCTTGCTCTATTTTTCCTTGCTGACCTAGTTCCCGGCCCGGCGATTAGTTAGATGCTCCAGCCGGAAAACCAATGAGTTCTCGGAGAGACAGAACTATGTGCACTGGACTAGGGTCTAAGATCAAGGCTCCCATAGGCCGAACCCCTTGTCACGTCGTTCCCTCTCACTTTACTAAAGGAAGCCAATAAGCCGAAACTACTGATGCATTCCACAGACTGCGTGTTGTGGCTAGGCTACAGTCAATGCGGCTTTATCCCTTGCATCGTTCTCAGCGGAATTTCTAGAGTAGAGGCATTTAGCTGAGAAATGACAAGAAATATTGACTGATCATCATCATTATTTGGACTGGTATCTTGCGCTGTATAAGGGGGTATCAAATTCAGCCAAATTACAGAAATATCCTGCACTACTCTATCGCAATACAGAAGAAATGTTATGGTGGGAAGTCCTCCAGCAGATACCTACTCCCGCTGCATGGCGTCGGCTCTCATGGATCCCACATTAGCAGCGGAGCCACGGGTACTCCGTAGACTGCAAGTCATACCAACCCCAAGCCACCGTACGAATACAAGAATGAAGGCCCCGTCTCCCTGTTCCGAGCGAATAGCAGCACTTATGACAAGGCAAGGAGTTGGGATAATCATGATGATCCACTCGGTGTTCTGTCTATTCGACCATAATATATATAAAAAAACACATAGCAACGTATGCGCCGTTAGAGGCAAGGCAAACAAGGTGAGTGCGGTAAGAAAAGATCCACCTAGGAAGGAAAATGAAAAAAAAAAAAAGAACGAAAAAAGAAAGCCAGGGAGAATTCAAACGCCCGGAAAATTACCTATCTTGAAAGAATAGTATGGCCAATTTTTCCCCTGCCACCCACCCATCACTCGCCATGCAAACCGCGCCGAGACGTTGGAAAAAATCGTAAGACTATTAATTACCCCAAAAGCAGGCATCATTATAGCGGTCGCTCTCCGTCATGGGTTGGAATCCCCTCCCGTCTAATGAATAGCCGTCTTCAGACCCGTCGCCGCCCGCAGATGTGGAAGGTGAATAGACGTCACCGTCCGTTAACTCAACGGGGGAGCTCGTCATCGTATCTGGTGGAAAAAAAGGGGAAGGGTAGTTGTGTATTGTCGAAGAAGCAACCCGGGGCCCAAGAACTTCCTCGATGCGATCGGGTATCTTAGATGCGAGAAATGCTCTTGCTTCCGAATGTTGTTCAGTTCGAGCAAGATCAGAAATCATCTGGCTAACGCCGGAGAGTTTTTGACAGAACTGTTTTAGCCCGAATTCAGGGCATAACCATATTTGCTGGGCGCTCTCAAATGTGGTTTTAGGTATATCCATATCGAATGAAAAAGCAGGGTCGACAAGCAGGATTTCATCGGTCTGGAGGGCGGTCCGAAACACGTTCCAGTAAGAGCCGTAGCGAACATAGGTGCCACAAATAGAGACAAGTTCATCGAAGCTAAACATGCCAGTTATTCGAGGAAAATCCCTCTGTAACCGTGTAGCTATGAGATTGATAGATATCTCCAGCGGAGATGCAGAGAGGGCGACCGAGGGGTCCTGCATATATCTCTGGCTTTGCGCGAATGCTTCCAGGTACATCAATCGCTGGCCCAGCGGAGTTGCTGAAATATCGGGTACTGGGCAGATAGATGAGCGGAACATTGTAAAAAATGGATTGGAAGTCATAGGAGTAGGAGAGCAGGTTAAGCTGAGCCAGTCGACATTCCTCAGGTAGTCAAATAGCCCTGCCCAAGGGGACTGAAAGTGCGTTTGCTGGTTGATTACGCCAACAGCGGGAATCTGAGGGTGTACGGGTACTGGTCGCGGTATTTCCTGGGGGCAGCCAAAAAATCGATTATGCGGGTAGGCTTCCATAAGACGGTTAACTGGCTGTGATGTGTCCATATCTTTCTGAGACGACCTTCGCGCCATAAGGTTTTCGGAACACTCGTAGCCATAGTTCTCACAACGGTCACACTTTGTCCCTGGCCATTGCCTGTTCTCGGGTGAGCACTAGATCCTTCGTTAGGAACCCACACATATGAGGGGGGTAATGCGCCAGCCATCTAACCTTCTTGTGATCCCTACGGCACCGCTGGCACTTGGGGACACCCTCTGAAGGCATCGGTTAGCAGTTCTGAGAATTTGACCTCCTTGAGAGAGAAAGGGCAGGTAAGAGTAACGAGAGGAGCAGAAGCAGGGAAGTATGCTTCGAGATGATTGTCGCTGCGCTACGTGAAAAGGGGCAGAGGGGAAACCTGGCTGGTAGTCTGCCGGTTGGAGGAGAGCGATGATGGATGGGTATGGAAGACTTGGAGAGCAAGAGTGTACTTCACACGGAGTACTTATATCGGTTATCGGTATATATGATGCCCCAGACTTTTGCTTTTTTTCTTCCTTTGGATACAGAGACGAGATGATCCGTGCGCAGTACGGCGGTAATACTTTATTCGAATAACTCGAAGGTTTCCATCTGCCCTTGTGGGGGGGGGGGGGGGGGGGGGGAATCGGAGTATATGCAGACAGAATATAAAAACCCAAAGAAAAAAAAAAACACAACAAGAAACAACGCCCTGGGACACCAGGGCAGTTAGTGAGCTGTTTGTCACCATGTCGTGGCGTTACAAAGCCAGGGTGGTGTGGATACCTCAATGATAGAAGAAAAACGCTGGGCGGTCAATGTACCGTTGAGGGCGAGGGACGGTACATTTCAAAGCCACCCGCTCACCAACGTATTGCACTATCCAGCATACTGGGTAGCCAATAATGACGGTGTGGCCATCGGCGCGTTTGCAAGACAAAAGTTATGTTCCCATCAAGTGGTTATTGAGCCACAGCGGCGAAGCCTTTGAGAGGAAGTTTAATAACCCTTTTTCAGCTCAGTCTTCCGCATATTCTAGAGGTTCGATTAACAGAGTTATACTCCGTAGGAATTTCGAATACAAGAGTATTCGTATATTTGGGAAGCCAGAGCCCTCCGTGAATGGGGAGGCTCTAGGCCGTTAGTCTCGAAGCAGTAGAAAACAAGGATCAATATAAGCATAGCATGTTGCAGCGCATCATTAACTAGCAGCTGGTTGGAAATTTCAAGGAAACGGAGGATAATTTTGCATTCGAAGTTTGCAAACGGCGTAGTTGCAGATTTTATGCGCTGTTATTCAAAGGGCTTCAAACAGGAATGGTAAATAGCAAGGTCCTGTAGCTGCTGCCAAGTGCATCATGATCTGCTCTTGTAGCACCATGGAAATATACTTCTGATGTTGAATACATTGATTTAAGCTCCATCGTGTAGTTGCAAAACACGATGCGGGCCATGAGGTACCCCCAAGGTATTCAGTATCGGTCTGCTAGTTGTCCCAACGTGGCCTGAAGAGGGCATCGAACAACGGTCGTTGATCATGAATACCCGCGGCAAGATGAGCTATCACCACTGAACCTTTCCATCAAAAGTAGCCCTGAATGAAAGAAGAAGTCATTTTTAAAGATGAAAAGGAAAAGGCTAAAGGAAAGAAGGGAAAGATGAAGGGAATCGACACTTCTGATAGTCTCCGCCAGGTGTGATGCCCCTTCCCGCCATCTTAGCCCATCTAAGCCGTTCAAAAAGAAAAGAAAAGAAAATAAACAACGGTAAGAGAGCCCCGAAAGCACACGGTTACATCTCTCTGGAGGCCTGCCGGTTAGATTCGAGATTACTTTCAGCGTGAACGGCGTTTCGAGAAAACATTAGCTGCAAGGGGCGGAAAAGGCGTTGCACATGTGTATCCAGGGCTGATAACGAAGCAATAAGGGCCGAAGAGGGCTAGGATGGTGTGGCGGTATAGGGGGCATAAAAATTTATGCCAGTATGGCTTCCCAATTCGGTTCTTTGATGCATGTGTACTTTGTGAAGCCCCAAAGCTTTTGGGGGGGAGTACAGACCTCCCATCTCAAAAATGGCGGGTCTGCACACTGTATTAATCCCGGTGACACATTCATTTCTTAGTCTCTCATCTCGTTTCTCAAGCGTCGAGATGCAGGGAAATCTGAATGCTTGAATATTTCCTTTCCCTATAGGCAATGGTAACGCGACCTCGATGTAGGCACCCAGAACGGCGGTCCAGAGACTACGGAGTAGTTTCCGAGGAAATCGCATACCACAAAGGCGCCAAATCTTCCCATACAGGCCAGCATCACGTTTTCTCTTCCTCTCTTCCTATGTATCCGTCTCCGAACAGATAGTTAAGCAACGCGATGTCTAGCAATAAAAAGTAGGTAAAACGAAGTCGACCTCAAGTTAAGCTATTTTTTTAACCTCGGGCCTGGGCCAAAGCTCGTCACGTGCCACAATGATCTCAACGTCATCAACATCCAACTTTTACGCTTCAACATCAAAAAAAGACACCACCAACTGGCTGCTTAAAGGCTCTAGAGAAGCTCGTGTTACAGTTAGATATATGTGGTCATACACTCTTTAGGTATGCAGCACTACTTTTCCTGTGCTTTCATTAAATATCCGCACCTCTGAATTCCGCAGTTGGACCCCTCGATATTCCTCAAAGATGGTTTCCAACAATCCGGTATCAGAAATGCCGAAGTCGAAAGCACCGATCGGCCACCTTTATTCACAACCACCTGCCCTATTGCTTGCCATCTACCCTCTAACTCTTATTATGGGCTCCATTTACTCCCGGATATCACCGACCGCGAACCCTTCAAGCGCAGCCTCGATATCCTCACACTCTTCACAACCGGTCAATTATTTTGCCCGAAAGGGAAATGTCTTCAACGTATATTTCGTTAAAATCGGATGGCTCTGGACGAGCCTAGCATTCCTATCACTACTTCTAACGCAGGATGCATTCACTAGTAAAAGGGTCTCTGCAGACTATCGAATGCGACGCGTCGGACAAGCTCTCCTCCGTTATTCTCTAGTTACTTTTTCCTGGATCTTGACTACACAATGGTGCTTTGGGGCCCCCATAATCGATCGCGGGTTTCTTGCCACCGGTGGGAAATGCGAAATAACCCAACAAGTGTTTGATGATCGTTCGCAAGCCGAGTTACCTCCGACTGTAGTCCTGACCTCGGTGTTGTGCAAGGCTTCAGGGGGTACCTGGAAAGGTGGTCACGATGTGAGCGGACACGCGTTTATGCTGGTTTTAGCAAGTGCATTTTTGATATTTGAGATGCTGGGCTCAAGGTCTTCGGCCATTATTAGCAACAGTAATGATTGTGATGCTAGAGAGCCAGCTCAAAGGACCACAGACAAACGAGTTACCAATGGTGGACCCAATGATATCAAACAGCTTCTTGCGGAGCTCTCTAGGAAATTCGTTTGGACGATTGTGGGCCTATCCTTGTGGATGTTACTCATGACAGGGATTTGGTTTCATACATGGCTTGAAAAGGTCAGTCATCAGCCGCTTTCGTCGACGAGCTGCTCCCTTCATTCCCTTGGGTATCCGCCCTTCATTCACTAACAATTTCTGCGAATCAAAGATGTCGGGTTTGGTCCTTGCTCTCGCTACGGTATATTTGGTGCATATACTGCCTCGTTCCCTACCAGCGTGGCGTGGGTTTATTGGCATCCCTGGAGTTTAATTTTAGATCAATGAAATAGACCATGCATTATTAACGATAAATCTGGCAGTTGCATCCATTTCTAATTTATGCTTGCGCTCACGAATTGGGAGCAATGCTCGAGTTCCTACAGCACCTTACTCTTTCTCCCCCTCACTTTAGTGCATCGTAACAGTTATGATATACAGGCAATTCACAGCAGTCGGCCTAGACCTCATAGCCTTTCGCGTATATCTTACAATCTCTCCTTTCTCCTGTCTTTGTTTCGACTAAGTCACCGTCTTGATATGCTCAGGTCCAAAAAAACCAGCTTGGAAGGCTAGGAACAAAGTGTAAGTAGAACATTATACGAAATTTGAAGGATATTTCTTACCCCCTGGAATCAGTGCAGAAGCGAACATGACTCTGGTGATAGGCTTCAGCTCGTTTGGTGTTTGTGTACCGTCATCGTTATATTGTTCAATCATGGCGTCTGACATTTCCTTGAAGTAGTCATATAAATCGCCCTCTGGACCTACTGTTGCCCTGAAACATTCGATGCCAAGACACGCTCCGAATTCCCTGAATGCGAGGCGGCTTGCGCCGAACTTCAAGTGATACTCCTCATCAAACAAATTTTCTGGGTAACAAGAAGCTTAGTTATCTGGTCTCCTAGAAAAATCGCTGCCATGAAATGGCAGCTGGTTCTGCTGTAGTAGAATTTTTGGAACTCACTCAGGATGTTGCAACACCGAGATGCTAAGGTGACAGCCCAGTCTTCATCATAAAACCACTGGACTGAGACAAGAGTCATCCCCAGGTCAAGGAAATCCAATGACGGGATATGGCCCCCCCTACGTTCGGATACCTTCTTGTAGTTAGATATCTCCTCCCTAAATACTTCACCGTCACCGAACTTCTTAGCAGACGCCTGCACCAAAGAGAATGTGACAAATCCGTCCAACGGATCTAGGTTTCCTTCGCTAGAAACAAGAGGCCGTGAAAGGTCCATCGCTACCTTCCATACCATACGGGGGCGGTCTGTCTCGAGCCCTACGAGGAAGTGTGGATGGATTGCTTTGCCTAGTAAGCAGGCCTGCCTGTTGTAGATCGGGTTCCCAGTTGCCATTGACAGCCGGTTGAGGGCAAACATCCATTGCGTTAGATAGTGATGGTATTGCCCGTCACCATCCGAGCCGGTCTCGTCGACCTTCCCAATTCTTAGGCCTCCAGCTAATGGCTCCGAATCAGTGGCGCCTGGTAAACGGGAAGTTCCATCCCGAGTTCTCCCCAAAACATCATGAACGGTATCCACAAGTCGTTCAGCGAATGTGAGATATCTCTCTGGATATCCGCTTTCAGCTTTTAGCTCAGTGTGCATTTTGTAAAGTGTCAGAAAATTTATGACTCCAAAAGCATCAGTCCATAGATACCGGCCACGATGTCCACCTGGGGCAGGAGGAGGTGTCCATGCACATGGATCCGAAACGTCTCTATAGTTGCCATACACTCTTTCCATGACGAACTCAAACTTTTCCACCCTGGACTTGGTTTCCACGTTGTCTAAAGCCATTGTTATTCGCTAGAGCCTTTTAGAACTGAGGTAGTACGGTACTCTGCTGGTAAGACGTTGAACTTATCGCGGCTATCTCGCCGTGACGGGCAGTAGCGTAGTCTTGTGACCGTCAAGCGAATCACCTTATATCGTAGTATTGATATAAAGATCTGGCTTGCGTTGTTGACATATTTCTCTCCTTCTAGTCACTGTGTAGTTCTTTCATTTTATATCAATTGTAAACAAGGAAGGTGCCAGGTTCTTGGCAAAAATGAAGTCATCAGTGGCGTTACCAAAGTTGAACATTTATAACCAATCCATTGCAGTCCATTTGGGGTCACTTTATCGTCTTCTCCCTATAATGATATATTCAAGCTGAATTGAAGACTATTGATATTGGGTCGGGGTCTCCTTTACGACCAATTCCTGTTCAGCTTACCTAAATGCAAACAAGACACTATGGCTGCCGCTAAGCTTGTTGATCTTATAAAATCAAATGCCAAGCCTCTCCCAGATATTTCAAGCGAGTCATTCGGATCTCGATTTGATCATCTTGGAAAGTATAAAGTTGTGTTACTTGGGGATGGAACCCATGGCACATCAGAGTTCTACCGAGCTCGCGCAGAGATAACCAAATACCTAATTCAACATCATGGGTTTAATGCTGTAACCGTCGAGGCAGATTGGCCTGATTCGGAAGCGGTAGACAGATATGTCCGACAGCGCCCAGGAGATAAAGCAAGAATTGAACGACCCGATGAACCAGCCTTCCAACGATTTCCAACTTGGATGTGGCAGAATTCAGATGTGCAAGATATGGTACACTGGATGAGGGACTATAATCGTAGTCTTTCATCAGCCAGCCGAGTTGGTTTTTATGGATTGGATTTGTACAGTATGGGCAGATCCATAGACTCCATCATCAAATACCTAGACGCAATTGACCCAAGAATGGCGAAGCTCGCGCGCCAGCGATATGGATGTTTGCAGCCATGGGTTGAATATCCGACAGAATATGGATTAGCGAGTTATCTTGACAGTGGAATGAAAACTTGTGAAGAAGCTGTACTCGACATGCTCCGCGATCTTCTCCAGAAGCGCCTAGAATACACTGCAGCTCACCAGGATGGAGATGAGTTCCATAGTGCCGAACAAAACGCCTACTTGGTAGCCGACGCGGAGGCTTATTACAGGGCAATGTATTCAGGTTCGATTGACTCTTGGTCGCTTAGAGACTCCCATATGTTCGAGACTCTGAAACGCCTCCTCAGTGCCAAAGGTTCAACGTCCAAAGTTGTTGTCTGGGCACACAATAGCCACATTGGCGATGCCAGATATACTAGTATGGGGAGGCGCAGGGGAGAGCTAAATATCGGCCAGCTTTGTCGTGAGGAATTCGGCAGAGACAATGTTGCTCTGGTTGGGTGCGGTACGCATATCGGCACCGTCGCAGCAGCCCACGAATGGGGTGGCGATGTGGATATCATGGATGTAGTGCCTTCAAGAAGTGATTCTTGGGAACACCTGGCCCATCAGTGTGGACAAAAGACTTTTTATCTCGAGCTCAGGAAGAATATCGCGAGCCCCGAGCTGCTCCATGCTATGAGAATGGCATCACCCCGATTGGAACGATTTATTGGAGTTATCTATCGCCCCAAAACCGAACGTACCTCGCATTACTCGTCCGCTGATCTCGCAGATCAGTTTGACGGCTTTGTTTGGTTTGAGCAAACTGAGGCCGTCAAACCTTTGGTAACACATCAGCCGCACGGCCATATTGGCGCAGACGAGACCTACCCCTTTGGACTGTGATTGGATAATTTTATAGCATAATCTTTCCAAAACACCACCACCTTTCGTTCTTTTCAAATCAAAACAACGGAGTATGTTGAAGGAGTACAAGCAAAGTGTTGGGTAATTGCTGATCTCGGGATATACCCGTGCGAAACGCAAAAGCTGAGGCTGTGTTCCACGGTCGGTGCTCGTAAGTCAGTAGTGCAGTTGCCCTGCAGAAAGTGTACATTTATCGCTATGGCTATATTTAGAAAACGGGAGTACACCAGTTAAATGATACGGAGTATCCAAAAGTTATCAATAACAGGCAATAAAGGTTATCCGGGCTGCTAACCCAACGTCACTGCAGCTATCCGAGTGTATGACAGCTTATAATTCTTGCATCGTCACTCGGTATTCCAAGGTTGCGGTAGCCATTCAAACGTAGAATGGACTTGAAGTTGGGAGTTGGGTATGCTGGACAGACGGGGCTTGTTTGTATCACTGCTTGGAGTAGCAACATCGACTATGTAAGTCGTTGGGCCGATCCAGGCCGGAGATAAACGCAGATGGCTGCGGCAGGGCTCCAAGACCTGCATTAGTATTGTAGCTGATTGCACGCCCAGAATGGAAGCTCTAATATCAGTGGCAAATTATAAATGAGTTTTGCGTGATCGTTCGCTTGCTAACTTTGCTGATTGGGAATAGTTATCGGCTCTGCTTTAGCATACAATAGAGGGTATCTGCCATGGAGGCCTGAAGGAGGAATGTTGGGAATTCCAATTGGATTTGATGTCGTTGGAGTCGCTGATGACAATGACTAAGCTAAATTATGTCATCTGTTTGCATTGTTTGTTTCCCGTGACATCAGCTTAGCTAAGCAGCGGTTTGTTTACTTTCTACCGGATCCGTTTCATCCACAACAGTTCAACGTCGAGCACAGGAAGACAGGAAGGCATCCCGCGCTCACAGAGCAAAGCAGCTTACAGACAAGCGCTGTTTCTCAGATACAAAATTAGGGCGCATTGAGAACGTCTCTTCCGAGCTATAGAGCGTTACTAGTCTAGTTTCTTTGTGACTCAAGAGGTGTTGTGCTTTGCCATGGCAACCCGCAGGTCTGCTCGATTAAGAGGCCAGACGCCGGCTATTGAAGTGAGAAATACACCACAAATACTCATGAAAAATATCTTTCAGGACATAGTCCAGTGCTAATTATTATTGATTAGCCTATCGACATGGGTATAAAGCGCTCTCCTTCTAAGCGTTTGGCTGAGATATGTGAGGACCCCTCTGCAGAGACGAAAAAGCTCCTCGAATCGGTTCCTTCTACGCCCAAAACAAACCCCTCCAAGACCATGTTAACCCCAGTTCCATCATCAACGACCAAAAACAAAATAACTCCCAAGACCCCTGACAACCACGGCGCTATCAAGCCTAGTGTGGAAGAAATGCATCCTAGCAAAGCCCAGCAAAGCACTACAAAGAAACCGGATTCTGGATTGCAGTTAGGATTCCGGCCTATCCACGATAATTCAAAAAGTTCAAATCAACCTGTGCCCTCGGTAATAAATACGCCATCTAAAAAAAGGGTTTCAAATGCCGATGAACTCAGCAAGATGAGCTTCGACTTCAAATTTTCTTGTGGAGAATCCCAACTTAGCCAGGAAGCAAAGAAGCTTATGGAAAGCCTCCGAGAGGAAGCTGCAAGAATTAAATCACAGATGGTGATTGAACAAAACGCACAGAAGCGTAAGGATGAGGAGGCCGAAGCTCAGCCAACTGCTCGGAAGATCGCGAAGCCCAAAGGCATTGCGGGACGCTTTAGCTCTGCACATATGGCCCAGTTCCGAAAGATGGACTCCATCGAGGGGCATCCATCCGCTTTTAGAGCTCGGGTTGAGCCTAGCCAAACATCACCGGTTAAAGACCTCAAGCGCAAAAGCTCCAAAGCTCAACTTGGCGATCCTGAGAAATATGTCCCAACGAAAACTCGAATCACACCAGCCTCCAGAGCAACCTCCACAGGCCCCTCTATCCCGCAGCGCGGAGGTCAAGCGAGTGCGACGCAATCTACTCGGACTCCCTTATCTGGTGATAGCTCACACGTTCAGAACAAGCCGCCTTTAAATCTGGCTCCGCTAGATAAATCTAAGTTTACTACACCACAGAAGCCTACCATCGCTCGTGCTACAAGCGTTAAATACCCCCATACTGTGAAAGCTCAATCTATATCACGTTCACCAACTCGCAGATCATTGTTTGCGGCTCCCAAGACCCCCCAGACAGATGTCAAGTACAAGTCTAACATGCCCAAACTGAAATCCATCCTCCGTCGACCTCAGCCTCTCTTTTCCAGTGACCCTGAAAAGATTGCTGCTGGTACCCATCAGCCTTTGCCACGAGCAGATTTTGACACCAAACTGCTCGGTCTATCAGACAGCTTTAAACCCTCAATGACTATTTCGTCATCGAAGAAGACTGTGGATTTCTCGGCCAGCACAAAACTTCGTGACGCTTGCAACGATGCATCTCCTTCCGCTGTTGCTTCAAAATCTCAAACCAGTGGCTCTCGAGATGTCCTCTATCCAACTCTTCCACCAACCACTCCCCCGCACGAAAGAAGGGTTCCCGGCTTCACTTTCAAGTTTCAGTCCCCTGCTGCTCAAGAGAACGTTTCACCTCTGAGGGCAAGCAAGCTTCAACCGGTTCTGGAACGCGCCCCAATCCCACACGGAATAACAAACAAGAAGCGGCGTCGTGAGGATACTGACGAAGAGCCCCAAACCCCACAGAATGACCGATTCATCAAGCGTCTCAAACAAAATCCCACTACTCCCCCAGTGATGCAAACTCCTAGTCCTGTCAAGAGACGTTTACCTGCTACTGTGACTCCAAAGCGTAGTACTCCTATCGGCAAAGTTCAGAAGGGTAAAGGTCTCACCCTTAGCCGGCTTAACTTCCTTGCAACTCCCAAAGTCCGTCATTGAGTCAGTAGGGAGTGAATGATGGTCGTCCTGTTCTTTGATACCAATTTTTTTCAGCCTTTTAAGTCCGGTGTGCCATACAAAATTGCTACATTGAGGAAAATACCCTACTAATTTTCCCCCATCAGCTCGAGGTCAAGATTTCTGTGTATTGGTTCAGTAAGGTGTTGGAGTTCTTATGGCCATAGTCCTAGTTTCTTTTATTTTACTCTTTGTTTTCCAAACCTTGGTTGTATTTCAGGGAATAGGGGTGGGCGGAAAGGTTGTATGGGATTATTTTTTTCTACATGTTTATTTGGCTAGCTTCAGACAGAGAGAGGCCTTAACTAAGTGCCATACAAGCCATAGGGAAAAAGAGAATAAAAATTCAAAATAAGAAAATAGCTACCATGCATAGTATAACTTATTAAGATTCCTGTGTTTTCCATGTCTATTGTGTTTAATTCCATTCAAGTAATGTAGCAAAGAAAGGCCGTGAAAAACCAACCGCACCCTCATGAGCTCTGTCCAACATAACATCGTATTTGTACAAGGAATTTTTATAGAAGTAGAGAAGGGAAGAAGTGGGTTATTACAACAATAGAAATACCCTACTAACACCTTTTCCCCCTTGCCCTTATTCTTGACCAGACGCCGTATAATGATAGAGGCAGAGGTATCAGGGGTATTTATTATAATGGCATGATGGCCGTGTACCCAGAGAGAATGTTAAGGTAAAAGGAGAGCAATCAAGCAGGAAAAGAAAACTCAGAGAAGAAATTCAAGAACATAAGGAGATAGAAAATGCAGTAAAAAAAGGCAAAAATGGAGTCATGGGTCTCGGGTTATCGTGTCGTTTGTAATTGGAGTGGAAATAGTTTTTCCGCCTGGGAAAGTATGGATAGTGTTTATGCGACTTAACGCTTCATGGAAGCCAGGAAGGAGTCGAGGTTGTATTCTTCCTCGTATTGGCGGTCATCCCATAATTCGCCCAAATCGTCGAGCCAGCCCTTCTTCCCCTTTTCTTTGACTTCGCCGTCAATGTCGACCATGTCAATTTCATTGCCGGTTCCATCCTGTGTTGGCTTTTCAGCCGAGTCAGCGGTTTCACCTAAATTAAAGAGATCAAGGAGTTGGTCAGTATCCATGGTGCTTAGTCCCGCGTTTTGCTGATTGACTACAGTCGAGGCGACGTCAATTTTGAAGCGTTGGAGACTATAACATAATTAGCAATCGAAACACAAACCAGTGTAGATAGAGGGTAAACGTACTTCAGAATCTTTTCTTCAAGAGTACCGCGGGTAATCAACCGATATACATTGACAACTTTCTTTTGGCCAATTCTGTGGGCGCGGTCCATAGCTTGGATATCCTTCTGAGGATTCCAGTCATGTTCAACGAAAATGACAGTATCAGCACCAGTCAAGTTTAGTCCAAGGCCGCCAACACTCGTAGTAAGGAGAAGAACATCGTAACTAGGATCCGTATTGAACTGATTGACGATATTTTGCCGTTTCGTTGCTTCGACACTTCCGTCAAGACGAAGGAACTGGACAGATGGAAGCAGCTTTCTAAGAACATCGTTTTGTACAATATCAAGCATCTCCTTCATTTGACAGAAAATCAAGGCACGATGTGGGCTGACGTAGCTTGCACCAGTGGCTAGCTCCCCTTCAGCTGAAGGATCAACACCAATACCGCAGTCAATAAGCAAGTCACGGAGCGCGCTGAGCTTTGGAGCGTGGGCAATATCCCGAATACTTGAGTTCTTTGAAGCAAGAAGCTTCTGGACTTGGTGGTATTGTTTATGTCCCTCTTTCATCACCAGCGCTGGAGAGTTGCAAAGCCGTCTCATGTACTGCAATGCCTGGAAGATGTGTTCCTTAGCTTCTTTATCACTGCTGCCGACCTTATTAGCGATATCTTTCTGTTCTTTCTGGGTGAAATCTTCGAACAGTTTCCGCTGGAGATCGCTTAGATCACAGTAGTAATTCTGCAAAATCTTTGGAGGAAGATCGTTCAAGACCTCTTCCTTCAGACGACGTAATAAGAAAGGGAGGACTTGTTTGTGCAATGCCTCAATCGCTAAAGCACCTGCTTCCTGTTCCTTAGAGGACGATTTGCTGAACCTACTGGCAGCAATTGGCTTCGCGAATCGTTCAAGGAATATTTTCTCCGTTCCGAGGAAACCTGGCATCAGGAAATCGAACAGCGACCATAGTTCTAGGACATTATTTTGAATTGGTGTTCCAGATAAGATCAAGCGATGGTTGCTAACGATACTCTTCACTGCTAGGGTGATTTTGGCCTTCGGGTTCTTGATCAGATGTCCTTCATCAAGCACACAATAGTTCCATGAAATGTTGGTAAGGACATCATTGTCATTTCTGCAGATATCATAGGAGGTAATCACAATATCCACGGAGTCTAGGAGTGGTCGAACCTTTGCTCGTTCAGCCGGTGGCCCCATATAAGAGACGCATGAAATGAAAGGAGCGTACTGCTTTATCTCTTGTTGCCAATGGCCGGAAACACTAGGAGGGCAGATAATCAGAGACGGCAGCCGACGCACTTCTGGAGCCCCTGTTTTAGCAAATTCTTCCGCGCGTAGATGATGGTCACTCGCAACAATGCAAAGAGTTTGTAGAGTCTTTCCAAGACCCATATCATCGCAAAGAATACCGTGGAGGTTGTAGCGGTTCAAAAAGGCAAGCCAGTTAACACCTTCTTGCTGGTAAGATCGAAGTTCCGCCTTGATACCAACAGGGATTTGGAATGGCTCAACCTTTCGTACATCCAACATTTGAGCCATAAACTGCCTTTCACGATCTCTGCCTTTGAGTAAATCTTCGGAAAGACCTGGTGGGTCCGGAATACCAGCTTCGAGTGGAACGAGCTTTACCAAGGTTGCGAAAGCTGTAGTTGCCAAAAGTCGGACATCATTGTCAGAATCGCTCATACGCCCAAGTACGGGAACAATCAAGAAGATCACATAAGGGAGGATTTGGTCTTCCATGACGTGAATCAAATGGTAGATACATTCGATAGCCCCTTGTCTATGGTGGACGTCCAGCGCATTGTTGATTGTAGGCAATACCTTCTCGACAAGCATTGTCATACCATCAACAGGGATAACGCTGCAGAGAGTAGCAAAGCACTTAGCAGCAGCATACCGGATAACGGAAAGTTCGCTCTGTAGAGATTTTGCGATGATGGGCATAAGTTCGATGATCCAAGGGTATAGTCCAGGATCGAACTTAGGAACCAAAGCTCGGAGAGTTGAAAGGCCGTCAACAGTTTCCTGGCCGAGCGTGCTTGATGGATCTCTGATATTGACAGGTAAATCGCCGGCTAATGTTTCTCGAACAGGGTTTTGTATCAAGCTGGCTATGTTTGGAACTTTATCAAACAGCTGAGCTCCAAACTTCCCAGCCAACTGCTCCAGTGCCTCCTTAGCACCACGACGCATAACTCTAGCTTCTTTCGATTCCTTTTCGAACTTAACAGTATCCACCGGGTCTCTCTTATCCTCTTCCTTGCGCAAGGACAGTACAGCCTTTTCCAGATGGGCATTATGATGGAACTCTGGGGTCTCTGTAGTGTCGACGCAACAGAATTTGACGAGATTGCCAATGATCTTATCGACGGGACCACGCTTAGCGGCACTGGTATAATACTCTACTAACGATGAAATGGCACTAGCTGATCTCCTCTGTAGTTCTGCATTTTCTTCCTTTTTAATGCTATCCATCATGGCCTTGATAAGGTAGCTTGGCTTCTTGGGGATGTTCTGTAGGGAAACAAGCGAGCTAGCAATTACTGCTCTGATGCGCATGTCTCGTTGTTCCTTAATTTCCTTTGCCTCTTCAACCGTAGCTTGGGCAGTTTGGCGAGAGTCATTAAGTACTTGCAATGCAGTAAGCCTCTGAGTGGGAGTTAGTTCTCTTTTAAGGCGTTCAAAGTCGGGCCCTAGAACTTTTTCAGCGTCTCGAATCGAAAAGGCGTTGGGTCCTGCTTCTGGCTCTCCCTGGACAACAACGGCTAGAGTAGGTAGCTTGGAAGGCGATACATGCGCATGATCTCGGAAGGTATTGAGGAGGGAATGGCATTGCGATCTAGAGATTTGCAAATAACAAGCAATGTCACTATACCATAATGGTCGATCGTTTTCGAGTAAAGGGTTTAGCCATTCGGACAGAACGGGTGGGCATGGCAGTTTTGGATCACGATTCTTTGCGTATTCTTCTATCACCATGGCTGCAGCCAATTGAGATGAGGAACCAGGCCAGTGTAGGCAAGGCAATATACCTTGCCATAAATCCGAACCGTTCATGGCTTGCCATATATGCAAGAAACGGCCGAGAGCAGAAGCGGCGTATATCTTCGATCTGATCATTGTATCTAAACCGACCAGATCAATGTCTCCTTGCAGCATGTGGCCATCGACGTTGTGTGAGTTGATTGGTGGTGGTTCTTGTTTTTCAGCTTTGCGTCGTCGGCCACGACCAGGGGGCTGGGGATCAACTTGGCTATTTGGTGATTGACGTCGAGGGCCTGCAGGGGCGGAAGTATAAGGTAAACCAGAAGGTCGGATGAACAAGCAAGCATCCATCGGAATTGGGTATCGTGGAACACCAAACGGATTCATGGTGGCCGTTATAAGAGGCTGTAAGGATCCAACTAGTTGATCGCCGTTCATCAATCTATGGTTTTCGGCTACCTTAAGCATCTCGCACCATACTTGTAGTGACAGTTTGAGTACCGCCTCATTGCGTTCGACGAGCAAATTCTGGAATATTAATCGAAGAGACTTGCCATCAACCCAGGTGTTTTGACCATCTTTATCCAGTTCAAGGAATGTTAGTAATGCTCTCAGTACCGCCGACCGCACGCTAGAGATAGTGTGACGCAAGAATGGAAATAGTCTAGGGACTAAGTTTCCAAAGGAGGAGTTGGAGTCGTGTACGGCATTCTCTTTCATGGCCTCAAGAACTTGAGGGAACGTGCAAAGCTTCGCAAGGAGATCCATTACCGACCCCGTACTGGCGCTAAGATCGTCTTGTAAGTTTGATAGACAGTTCCACACAACTTCTATCAGTGCGCCTAAAGAGCCGCCACGAAGCTTAACAAAATCGTCTGCAATGGGTATCAAAGTCGCTGCGCTAACAGCGCGGACATCATCGTCGTAATTATCCAGTCCCCTCATTACGGCCTCAATCACTCCGTCTAGCACGGTGGATTGCTTCATTAAAATATCAGTGCGAACGGCGACAAGGTACTTTAGGCCGATCATACCGCCATGGCAGACTTCCCAGATGGGCTTGTCGAGATCCAGATCGTTCTGCATTACCATCCTATGAAGAATATGATACACCTGGGTGACGGATGAATCGGGCAGGTGAGACAAGAGAGCGCCCATCGTCTGTCCGACGGTCTCTCGAATTGGCGCTACAACATTATCCGAAATGTAATCACCAAATCTGTCCAGCATGAAGACGCAGAGTAGACGGCAGGCAAGGTCACCTAGCCAACGATGGTTTAACGCATCATTTTCGACTCGTGTCTTACCGTATTGCCTTCCAGCACCAGGTCCCTGGACACGAATAACTTCTCTCAGGCCCATAGCAGCTCCGTGGCGAATGTCCCAATTCTGGTCAAATAGATCCACCATCAAGATCTCACACATCCGCTCGTACGGCCATTCAAGGTCTTGTCCATCTGAGGAGCTGCTCTGAATGAACGGCTTTTCGGGAACAACGGTTCCCTTAAACTCCTTTACGAGTTTTGAATCATCGTCTGGACCTTCTTTCTTGATGGAGAAGTAATCGTCCTTGGCGTCATTATCTTCATCGCCATTTTCCTTCTTCACTGGGTGAGGAGTATATACTTCTATGGGTGTAGACCCAGCATCAGAACCCTTTCGAACAGCTAGATCAACGATACGGATCTTGTTGGCACCAAGTTTGGCGGTCTGTTTGTTCTTCCGTTTCAACTGGTTAAGCTGTCGTTTGCTTAGACCGTGATCATCACCATTGGCAGAGGGAGGAGCCTCCTCTAGCGGCGAGTCGCGGTTAAATGGATGTTGTGAACGAGCAAGGCCACCAACAGAGGTGTCAAGTAGTGGCGGGGGCATCTGTATTTGGCTTGGCTTCCTATGTGGAGTGCCATTGGACATTTCAGTGTCATGGATGAGATCCTCTTGGGGGTAATCGCCAGCAAGGCCCAATCGTCCTTTTAGTGTCTTTTTTTGCTGCTGTAGCCTAGAAATAGGATCTAACCCAGCAACAGCATATTCATACTCCTTACCACCACTCCCGAGCAGCTTGTGTCCATGCTTAAGAACCGAGACTATGTCCAGGGTCTCGAGATCAAGCAGTTCTTCAGATGCTCCTTCTTTCTCCTTCTCAGTCTCTTCTTTGACCTCGGCCTTGGTAGTAGTGGTATTATCGTCATCTGCATTAGGGTCCAGCTTCTCTGCAAAGGAGACTATACCGCCAATCGCCTTAGCGGCAGCCGTCCGGGTATCCCATGACTTAGACCGTAGATACGGAAGTATACGTCCTAGCAGGTTGAACAGCTCATCTGGATGCTGCTTCTGCACGTCTGCTAGCTGTTGGGCCGCTGTGTTTCTGATGACCTGTGTGCTCCCTGTCTCTAGAAGGCTGCAAGGTGAAAAATAATCATGTGACCATGTTAGTTTTATCAAGCTAATCCTTAGTCATCTAAAAAGCGTTACTCACGTGACTAATCGATCTAGCCGACTGCGGTAAAAATTAGCATGAGTCAGCAGAGTGGATGTGTTGAAAAGCTTCCTGATTGGATCGCCACTAACCTTGAGCCCATCTTTTTTCGCCTTTTTTCGCTCTTTTTTCACTTTCGACGCGCTAAAGCAATGTAGATAGAGGTCGGCCTTCTAAGTCGACGAAGGTGAAGAAAGAGAAAAGAGGGAAAGAATTAAGCAGAAGTGAAGGAGCGCAGCAGGCAAGTGATTATCATTCCCGTCATCGAGTGTAAAAAAAAATAAACCAAAGTACTGCAGAAAGTGAAGTGACGAGAGTGAAGTGAAGCAAAAGAAGCGCGTCAGATTAGGTGTAGCTTGGGAGGAGCGTGCTCATAGGGCGGACCAAGACGACCTGTATGGAAGTAAAAAGCGGCCGCTGGGGGAAGCATGGCCCCCTTCGGGCGAAGTAGATATAGAATGTACTTCTTTAGCCAGAGCAACAATAGACAAGCCAAGCTGAGTTAGACTTAGTACGCCAGGGCAGGGCTGTGGGTGTATGGCGCCGGTGAGTGTGCGGTGGGAAGGGGGCGAGAGGCAGTGCGGAAAAGGGAAGCTGTTTGGGCGTGCCGGGTTCAGAGAATAATTTTCTATCGAGGTCGCGCAGCATGTTTATATCATCGGGGGCCCAGCGTCTTTTTTTCTCTGGCGCGGCAGGCTCCACCACTAGTCCCCTTTCGGCCATGGCGCGGCGCCCCCTTACAACCCTGCGCCGCTATTATGAGCACGTGACCACCCCTGAGCGAGCGCAAGCTAGAGGGACCGGGTAGATAGGTGGACGGACGGACAGACAAAGCACATACGGAGTAGACGACGTGGAAGGTGGAGGGCATCTAAGGAGCAACGGCCACTTGCGTCGGGGAGCTCTCTATACATGGACTGATGTTGATGTCCGAAACGTTGGAGGGAGGGAAGACGGAAGGGTCGCTAATGCAGGCACGCACACAGAGTGAGTGAGAGGGAGAGACGATCCCAGCTTGCTCCGGCAGCCGGGGGAACAGACAGGCTGATATGCATACTCCGTACTCCGTATCTACGGTAATAATAATAGCTTGTGCTATATATCGACAAGCTTTCGGGTTTAAGTCCTTGGGTGGCACACTGAAGCACTCCTCTCACGTAAAGAAAAATAGCCTTGTGGAGGAATTATGCAGAGCGCTTCGTATATGGAAGGATCCTGCCACGGATCAACTTCAAATTCTTCAGGTCACATGATCATCGTCTTGGAAGGCCACGGACTGGATGGACTGAAGAGCTTGCAGCCTCACCGGTCAAAAGGGTCGTTAGTTGCTTTGTTTATTAGGTGAATTATTCGACGGCTTGCCCGTTGGTTTGGGTAGGCGGTAAATAGTGTTAAATGTTAAAAGAGGAGACTTCCTGGTGATAAAAATGGAGTTATTGATAGCCATGGGAAGGAGGTCGCTGGGAGCCGTAGACTATTTGACTCCAGTAATTAGGTAACTGCCATATCACTTCCAAGGTTGATAGAAATCCCACTCCCTACAGGCCAAGGCCAAACCAAATGGCAGATACGCCGTTACTTAGCTAAATTCACATTGCACACAAGGCTGGTTATTATTGGTGAAAATATCAGAGCATAGGTAAAACCACCAAGAGCAAACAATCCATTGCTACGTTGGGAATGGCTGAATAATAAAACATGAACTCCAGGCCATGCTACCCGGTACACGGAGCGGACATGGAAGAAAACAATCTCTCTAAACCCAGGCGTCTTCTCTTCTCTTCTCTTCTTCCTTCCGCCCTCTATTTACACATGAATATAATTTCATATTCCCCTTCAGCGTCTGCTATCTTAGCTCACGATCATGATGATTTCGCGTCTTCTTTGCCCAGTAATCCTAACGGACTTATCTGCTCGGCTCTAGGGGCGCTCTCTCTGGGGTGGGAAGACATGGCTTTTCGGTAGGCATTTTGCATTTCTCGGGTTCTTGCGGCCTAGTATAAGGTATCATTTAGCGTTTTATTCAAGGTAATTCGGTGGTTTGTTCAATTATGGGTTTGGGGAGAAGGTTGAGATCTTGAAATCCCATCTGGCTTGTGGGCGGTGGGAAAACCGCTGACCTCTTTCTTGTGGTGTAGGCACTCGTAGTAATCGTCTAAAACTCCGACACATTTCTTCTTGCCGGCCTCACCCTCAGCTGAGTTGACGACATAGCAGCCGAGCAAGTCCTGCCAGAAGGGAAAGCACCGGGATACGCCTAAAGAAAGGTCACAAGTTAGCAGTCTGATTGCATTCCAAAACTCCACTATTTGCGGCTCCGCGGTCGTGTATGAGGCAATTGAAATGATGAGAAGAGACCAAATATATACTTACCACCGTTAAGACCGTAACCTGAAGCCATTGTGTCTCAATTGCGTGTGTGAGGGATGCGATTTCAAGTTAACCTGCGGTTTTGGCCGATGCTCGAAAGCCGTCGTTGGTTGTTCACAAGAGGCTGGTCCAAGCTTTCTGCTTATCTAATACAAACCTCGAAGTGCCACATCTGTCTATCTGCTATCAATATACACTTTGCGATATCATACAATAAACAGCGACTTAACGGAAGCAACGTGCGGCCGTTGACCATGATAATACTAGAAATATGACGGTCCTTGAAGGTCTATCTGATTCCCATGCTGCTCTCTTAGCCGTGCAACTCTGTCTGAACGGAGATGTATCAGGGCTCCCGCTTCTCAAATCCCAGTTTCCCCATACCCTCCACTTGGAACTACTATTCCGAATAATCCTTACGTTTCTACCAGAGATCACGGAGCCTGAACAATATATTCAAGTGATCAAGCAGCTTGTCGATGACTCTTCTGCTCCGGATCGCAACTTGGACACAGATGTTGCCGCTATTCGAGAAATATCCGAACCCGATGCTCGAAAACAAGTTCGACACTTAAAATTACTTCCCCTTCGCCGTCCACACCTTAATATCGATGTCTCCGAACCGCCTCTTATTCAGTTTTTGATCCATCGAGCGCATAGAATTGATACCGAAGTTGGCTTACAGCTATATATCCTCGAACTCGTGGACCCGTTTATCTCGGACTCAACTACACTTCGCGACTGGACGATTTCTGTTGTCTTGCCCGCTATACGATTCAACTACGAATATCACCCTGACAATGAAGGAGCATTATCACTAGAACTAGTAGAATCACTGGATTCGAGAAGTGCAGTGAACATCTTGCTTTCTGCGGTTGAGCCACATGCGAAGGGAGGAGATGTTGGTAGGGACTTGAAGGGGCTTGTCGGCCCATGGATGTACGGACATGTCAAATCGAAAAGGCGGAAACTTGACAAGACCGACCCAAATAGCAGCACCGATTCCGTCGAAGTTGGCTGGCAAGACGTAAACGAGTGGATATTATCAACAAGCATTCGGGACTTTCACTTGGCCATTGAGGCAGTTGAGCAGTGGTCAGGGCCAGGAGACATCAATCTCGGGGATTATGATGGGGCTCAGGATGGAGACCTATCCGAAGACATGGGAAGGAGGCTAATGTTCCGTTATGCGCAAGCAGGCCTTGCGTCAATATACGCACTTTCTGATGGCGGTTTTGGACTTATATCGGGTGCCTCACGCATATTATCGAGAGTCGCTGATTTTACTAAATTTGATGACCAGTTACATATCAACAGCGCTGGCATTCATCCTCTGTCACTCCATATACCAGAACTTGAGAAAGTATCACGGCAACACCTCCTCCATAACATGCTCCTAAACCCTTCAAACCCTCTCACATACCCCACGAAAGAGTCAATATCGTTCACAGACGCCATACTGGTATCCATCCGAATACTTGATCAGTATGGCCGCTGGATGTCGCCTCGAGCAGCAGCGGAGTTGATGCTATTGGGGCAGGCTGATGCACAGTTCTATGAATTGCGAAAACTGCTCGAGACTCTTAACCACCAACACCCTCCGCCTAAAGATTGGAACCAGGTTAGGGAGAGCTTGCTTTGGCTGCATAGTTGGGGAGGCAGTACGCAGCCAGAAGTACCGCAAGGATTGTTCTGGAAGATTCCCCTGTTGAAACTAGAACGAGAGATCTTTATTGCTATCTTGACGGCAAGGGGTATGTGCTCCAAACTTCAAAATTTTAGGGGAATTTCCAGTGGATTCCATGCTAATGGCCTTTTATATGTAAAAACAGAGTACAATCTTGCTGCAGATGTATATCTCAGCTCATCAAGTTCCACGCCTCTTCCTCGAGAAGAGATCGAATCGGCTGTGACGGAGACTATATTTGCTGCGTATGACAATGCGACCAATGGCAACAAAACCAGAGGTGGCATGAAGCGAGCAGCAGACCTGTAAGGAAATCATCTCCCTTTTTCTCTTTTCCTCAAGCTGGTTCAAAGCTTTGTTTCTAACAAGAGTTCGCAATTGCAGGCTCGAAGCATTTACCCCATACTTCCCACAGTCTGTCCCGTTTCAGCAGATCAGCAGCTTGCTCTCTGCAACCCACGCCCTATCATTCTACTCGCTGACGCTTCAGCATGGCGTACCCTTCCAACCTGTCAGCATCCGTGTCCACCAGGACCCGATTTCGTTGATTGAAAAAGTCCTAGAGCAGAACCCAAAGGGATATACACAGCTTGACGATCTATTGGCGATTGGACGAAATTTGGTAGCAGCAGGTCTCCCTACAGGGATGGTGGGAACAAGTTCAGATTCCTCCCCCAGTAAGGCTGTCGTATCAGCAGAGAGGCGAATAATGTCCCTTGCCATCGCCGCTGCAGTGAACGCGTCTGACTTTGATACTGCATACTCCTACGTTGTCACACGGGTGATACCCCCGTCTCTAGTTCCCGGCAGCGAGAGAGGCGAAAGAGGACATGCACAAGGCGAAGGCGAAGGCGAAGACGATGATATCTCATGGCGCTCGGCGTACAACACCGGCCGTCATCCACCGACTGGCAAAGAAGCGCAGGAGACGACGACGCTCGTCTCCAGGATTGCACGCCTTTCACAGCGCATGGAACTGCTCTCCCTGGCCCTAGTCCTGGCCCCGGCTGCCGAGTACCTCCCCGAGATCTTAGCTGTCTGGCGACGGTGCGAAGAAGAGATGTCGTCTCTCCAGGAACAGGAGATGCAAGAAGCAGAGAGCTGGGACTACCAGGGCGATCGGCAGGGCCGAATGGGCATGGGAGGTGGTGCTGCCCTTCCCGGCGGCTTCGGCCCGTCCAGCAGCGAGCTTGACGCTCTTGACACAGAACTCGAGCGGGAACGACGAGCACGTTCCACACGGCAGCCCCAGCCGCAGAGACAGGCACAGAGACCAGGCAAGCTAAGCGGATACGAGGAGGCACCGATGGGACTGTTTGACGTTGCTCGCGGTGCAGCATCGGCTCTGCGCAAGAACGCATTCCCATTGACTTCTGCTACCCCGGCGAACAGTAGTAGAAGCATGACGAACAGCTCTGGCGAGGAAGGACAAGGGGCAGAGACACCTCGGACGCGGAAGAGAGATGTTGTGAGTAACCTGGTGACGGAGGGACTGGTCAGCGGCATAGGATGGGTAATCGGAGCACCAGCACCAGCACCAGCATCTGCTTCGGGTCGCGGAAGTCCAGAGTAGTTATCAATATCGGTATCTGCTCTTTAAGACTTCTTCTATCCCGGTGGCATGTGTGTTCCACCGCAGGGTGTACTGAGTATATGAATGTCTAGTACTGTCTACGAATGATGATAATCGATGCTTGATGTCTACCACTCCTTATCCACTTAACATCTTCAAGACGATCAGGTACTACCCGCCCAAGCAGAGAAGAGCAAAAGAAAACAAAACAGAAGAAAAGAAAAGAAAAGAAAAGGGGACTCATCCATGCATGAGTAGAACGGGATGGCTTTCTGGACCCCCCTGCTCGCCCATGCATGATAAGTTACATGATACGTTGCTATTCATAGCCAGGCAGGTAAGAACAAACGCTTGCATCGTCGTATCGTCTTGGACTTCGAGTTCTAACCGTCATGTATGTATGTCTGTACCTGCTGTAAGACGGGTAAGGATGTCCTTCTTCCGTTGGTCCAACGGTAAACGGCAAGTAGGTAGGGAGGTACGAGTATCATTGAATATCTGTCTTCTTCATGCTTGAGGAAGTGTTTCAGCCCTCATGCATGCTCGTCTCGCAGAAGATGGCGAAGCAGCAGCATGTTCGATCGCACTTGATGCTCAGCCTGGTTGTATTATATATAGACAGACGACAGACAGACAGACATGTAGATACATATATGTATAGATGTATATATGTATATATAAACCGGATTGTTTTAGCAGCGTCTCTTGGTCTTCTTGATCCTCCTGCTATCCCTTCCTGCTTCTTCTTCTTCTTCCTCTTGTTTACTCCGTACCTCTGGCCGAGCATCTCGATTTCGATCTGTCCTGGCGCTTTTATCTTCCGGGCGCTTGCTGAAACCTCGACGGAAGCCAAAGAGAAGAGGCCATTAGAAGAAGAAAAGAAGACGAAGAAGAAGAAGTGAAGAAGAAGGACTTTGCCTGTCTCTCTCTCCCTCTTCTGCCTCTCTTCTCTACTTTATCTTCTCCATCTCCATCTACTTCATCTGCTTCATCTTCACCTTCGCGGCCACATGAAACATCCAACCGCCCCAGGCCTGGCGTCTCCCGTTTTTACCCTCTTCTAAACTCCTCCTGCTGCTGCTGGCTGGCTGGCCGTGGACGCTCGTTTCGCTGTCATCGTCATCGTCGTCGTCGTCGTCTTCTTCCTTGTCTTCCTCCTGGCTTGTCCTTCGTCTCTCGCTCGCTGCCAAAAGGAAAAAAGCAAGCGGCCTGCCTGGCTCATCCCGGTCCCTCTCGTCCAATATCATCAACAGGAGAAAGACGAAGCCGAAGCAGAGGCAGAAGAAAGAGACGCCGTCCCTCTTCACCTTCGCCTTTCACTTTCTAGCGCTTCCTCGCCTGCATAGCCTTGCATCCTCGCCATCTCCATCGCAACCGCCAGGGAAGACAGCCAGTCGAGTCAGGTCAAGGTCAGGCCAAACGAGGGGCTTAGAGAAACGCTGTCTTCTCCTGCTGCTGCTTGCTTGCTTGCTTGCTGCGTCTCCCTTGCGTTCGACTCGCTGCCTCGTCTTTCGCTCGCTCGCTCACTCGCTGTTCCACTGACCAACAGCCGCCCTCAGACACTCGCAGACAGACCGACGGCAAAGGCATCGAGGGCCTGATAAAGGGACAGGGTTGCCTCGTCTCTCTTCTCCTGCCTCGTCTTCCGTTTCTTCTTTTTCGTGGCTGCTACAGGATCTCCCCGCCACCACCCACAGCTGCCTCCAGCTTCACCTCGACCACCACCACCACCTGCACCACCACCAGCAAAACCCTTTTTCCCACCCTCCTGCAACTCCTGCCATCGACCAGAGCTGCCTGCTGCCTCGTCTCCAGCTCGAGTCCGTCGACTCCCTCCTGCTCCTCGACTCGACTCTCTGCTGCCTCTGTGATTGACTCACGTGGCCTTTTTTTCTCTTTCTCTTTCTCTCTTTCTCGTCCTCTTCCTATCGGTTCACCATGTCCTCTCCCGCTCCCGCTCCCGTCCTCAAGGCTCCGGTGCCTGGCGCACATCGCAACAACAAGCTCCCATCCCTGACATTGGGCATACCGCCGTCTCCCAATGCCAAACCGGTCAACCAGACGGGCGTGGCAGCCCCGTCCCTGGCCATCAGCATCCCCCAGAAGCCCGCCAGCAGAGCACCCCCAAAGCTGAGACTGGCCACCCCCTTAGGCGCCGGTGCTGGCGGCAACAAACCTGCATACCAGGATCCCAACGCTCTACACAACGGTCGCCCCGTTCCACAGCACTACAATTCAACAGGCTCGTCAGACAGCAGCCAGAATAATAATGTACACTCGCGCTCAGGGAGCTTTACAGGCCTCGACGCCAGAGGTAGCGGGCCTCCCACCTCGGCCACCTCGTCCACTTACTCCGCCCCATCCTTTGCATACGGCCTTCGACAGCCTTACCAGACTCCCGACCCTACGTCGGCCATCAGCTCAGTGTATTCTGATCTAGGCGATGGCTCGGCGATGGAGAGAGAAAACAGTGTCAACGGCCTCACAGACCTCGACAAACTCAGCCAGGAGCTCGGAAGGCCGCTGGACGTTGAAGATCTGGACGACGAGCGATGGCTGGCTGCCAGTGAACAGGGCAAGATCATCGAGCTCGGCAGTCTCGGTGAGGGTGCCGGCGGAGCTGTCACTCGATGTCTGCTCAAGGGTGGAAAGACCGTTTTTGCTCTAAAGGTGAGTCTGTCCCTCTTCTTCTTCTTCTTCTTCTCTCTCGTGGCACAGTAACTAACATCTACTAGATCATTACGACTGACCCAAACCCAGATGTCAAAAAGCAGATTGTTCGAGAGCTTAATTTTAACAAGGGATGTGCTTCGGACTACATATGCCGATACTACGGTGCATTCGTCGACAGATCAAGTAGCTCGATATCCATCATCATGGAGCTATGTGAAGGTGGCAGTCTAGACAGCATATACCGAGAAGTCAAGAAGCTCGGCGGTCGAACTGGAGAGAAGGTTCTCGGAAAGGTTGCCGAAGGCGTCTTGAACGGCTTAACTTACCTCCACGGTCGAAAGATCATTCACAGAGGTATATATATCCTTGATCTGTTAAAAACATTGTCTCTCTAACGTGTATCTACAGATATAAAACCATCAAACATCCTCCTCTGCCGCAACGGACAGGTCAAGCTCTGTGACTTTGGTGTCAGTGGCGAATTCGGAACCAAAGGTGATGCAAACACATTCATTGGCACGTCTTACTACATGGCCCCTGAAAGAATCACGGGCCAGTCCTATACCATCACATCCGACGTCTGGTCCCTCGGAGTTACACTGCTTGAAGTTGCACAGCACCGTTTCCCATTCCCTGCCGACGGAACAGAGATACAGCCCAGATCGGTCCTCATCGACCTCCTCACCTACATCATCCACCAGCCCATTCCAAAACTCAAGGACGAACCTCAAAACGGCATCTACTGGAGTGACAACTTCAAATACTTCATCGAGTGCTGGTATGTTGTATATCCGAGCCCTACCTTCTATATCTTAGTATCACAGCTAACATTTAGTCCAGCTTGGAGAAAGATCATCCCCGACGAGCCACGCCCTGGCGAATGCTCGAACACCCGTGGATGCTCGAGATAAAAGAACAAGAAAGTTAATATGGCTCACTTCCTGAAGCAAGTCTGGGGCTGAACGATTAGATTCCCACACGCTTACTACCACACTCAACACGAACACAACGAAAACGAAAAAAAACTCGAAAAGAACAAAAAAAGACACGACAAGGAAAGGAAAGAAAAGCACCTGTTTTTAGAATGAGCCGTTTTTTTTTTCTCACGTCGAGCGGGCGCTGGGACGACCCGTTAAAGCAACATCAATAACTCTGCCGCAGCCATCAGCACAACAACCCATTCCCCCTGGTTCATCAATCTGCCACTTACCCACTTCCTTCGCTATGACTTAGGATATTTTCGATTACGAAAAGAAATCATGCCCTTCTCCAACCTTCTATATTAACGACCTTCGGACAACATGACTTCGATGAACCCGCCATCCCCTTGCTTACTGTTATTAACCAACTGATGACACCATGTACCCTCCACCCGCTTATCTCAACATATATTCACGCATCAAGCCCATCTGCTTGTTTGTTTATTCATCTACCCTGCAGTAGTCGGAGTCCGGATGCTTACTTCAATTTTTCTTTTTCCTCTCTCCGCCAGTTCATTTTCATTTTCATTTCATTTTTTCATCTCTTTTGCCATTTCTCCCTTTTTTCTCACATCTCTTGAGATATAACTTACTATAAATGAGAACTATGAATACTTTTCTTCCTATTTCCTTCTTTTTTTTCCTTGTTTCCACCCTTTTCCTTTCTCTTGGTTACTTCTAATCTGACGTTCTTTTGATACTTGATGTTAACTAGTACAGCACAGCACAGCGCATTTATATTTAATATCTACTCATTTATTCACTTTTTTAAACCAAGTACTTTTTTTTTTTAATACTATTATGCTATATGATACCGACATCCCAATGAATCAATCAATCACAGTTCTATGCATGAACTACCTGATTCCTTCTATTTCCTCCTTATCTCCAATCACATCGTATCCTTTACATAATATCTAAACGGCCACCTAACAATTTGTCAAGTCGCCCCTGCCCTGTCAATGTTTCATCGTCGGCCAGTTGCCTACCTATTTACTCAGTTTAACGGCTTGCTAGCTTGGTCGGCTTCTTGTGGAGGAACAAGCGGCTGGGGTCGCTCTCCAAGCTGGCTAGATATATTAATGATAATTACATGGGCTCAAGGACCAACTTTAGTACTTATACTTGCTAGTACTCTGATGTTCAAACGCTGGCTGTAAAAGGTATACCTTCGTAGTAGAAAGTCGTTACCTTGGAGGAACCCGAAAATCCCCGACCCGATTTCATCAAATCGGGAACACGACCAATCGGGCCGCCCCTTAGTATCTAGGCATTTTGGCAGTCAAGGTGGTCAAATCCTGCTTCAAAATGGCCGTTTGCTCTAGCGCCCGCCTGCCCTGCCGGTATTTCGCCTAATTCTCCGCCACTTGTCTCTTGTCTTTTGCAGTGCCTCTGCGGCAGTTCCACCTGAACCCATGTAATATGGGGGAAAAAGTGGGCTGAGATGGATGACCGGCAGAATTTTAGATACCCGACGCAAAAGGCTTCTTGAATCATGAGGAATTATCGCTGCAGGTTTTCGCTTCTTCAGGGAAAACCAAGAGAATAAGGAAGCAAAGCCGTTGAGCATGTTTATATCTCCGCGGAATTGGCTTCCTACACGCCATTATTTTCTTCACTGTCATTCCACTTTCCTGCGCTGGATCCAGCACATGCAGCTACCTACCCCTGGTGATAGCAAATGGAAATAACCTCATTGGTCTGCTGGGACGTTGTTTTCGTGCCCAGCTCCTAGGACAATTGAAGAAATGACGTTCGTGAAGGTATTCACCGGTCATTTCTTCAGGAGAGCAATGTTGGGTATATAAGAGAGTGTTTCTTCAGCCATCTACTTCTCTTCTCTCTCATTCATTCACATCCAAACATCCAACACACCGGCATTCAAACATTTAAACATTCAAACATCCAATATCTAAAGTTCAATATTCAATAACCACCTACCAACTTGATCACAATGACTGTTGCCGAACGCCAGATCCAGCACGTTGACGAGCAGGAGCTGGAGACTTCTCTCGCCAGCCGAGTCAACTATCTCAAAGCTTTCCTCAAATTCACCGACGAAGACGGTGCTGCCCTCCAGAGCGCAAAGCCCCTGGTTGCTCCCGCTCTGCCAGCAATCCTCGACGCAATCTATACCAACCTAATTGGGTTCGACGTCACTGCCAAATCCTTCGTACCTCCTCAGCCAGAGCAGGATAAATCCACCGTTGCTACCACTTCAGTTGCTGAGCTGTCCCTCACACACCCTAACATCCTGCACCGCAAGGACTTCCTCAAGGCATATCTTGTCAAGCTCGTGAGCAACAGTGACTGGTCCGATGAAAGCAAGTTCTGGGAATACCTCGACAAGGTCGGTGTGATGCACACTGGCAAGCCTGGCTTCAAGCACCGTGAGAAGCGACCCGAGTTGCGCGTGGAGGTGATGCACATGTCTTTGCTTCTAGGATTCGTGGAGGATATCGTACTTCAGGCGACGATGGGAGCCGAAGACCTGGACATTCAGACAAAGACAAAGGTCATCAGAGCATTCAACAAGGTGCTTTGGATTCAGAACGACTTGTTCCAGAAGCACTATGTCTCGAAAATCGAGTGAATTGATTGATCGGCACGGGGTCGAAGGGAAATGTAACAGTACGGCGAATGGGAATGAGAAATGACACAACCACTCTAGAGTTATGGTGTTTAAGGGAAGCGAAACTCTCCAGACTAGATTTTGTTGTTTTCCCTTGATTTTTCAGGTGTTTATTCGGTTTGAGATAAGGGGTCAATAGAGAAAATTAAAAGAATAAACAGAATTCATCCAAATAGCTTCTACCATTTACCGATATGCTCTTATCTTCTTGTCGGAATAAAGGAACGCATTTCTTACCAATTGCTGTAACGATGTTGCACCTTGTGGCCTCGATTGTAAAGTCTCTACAAGAGTACTCCTATGCACCACCAACTCCACGCTTCCACCGTTCTCAAGCAGGAGAACGTACCAGAGAATGGTTTATGTGGAGTGTGTTGAAGGGGAAGAGAATGGAGTACGGAGGAGGTATCAAAAAGAAGAAACAAATTCCAGACAGAAGCGTCCTGGACGTCACCAACACAAAAATGACGAAACATGAGAAAAAGATCCAACACTTGGATCGCTCCAAGTGGTCCACCTTGATCGCGAAACAAACGGATCATCGCCTTGTACAAGGCAAGAAACACATCGAGTAGAGATCCTCGTTCCTTCTTTGACCTTTTGCACCGGACATGACTTGCTGGTTAACATCATATGTAGGCAACGTAGCCCGACTCCAGTCTGGCGGCTACAGCATCTCAACCAGGCAGGGCCGGAAGGATCGTTGAGAGGAGAAGCCGTGGACCAATAAATATGCTTGCCGCTCTGCTCTGCTCTCCTTGTGGCAAGGGCCACCGGTTTCCCGTTGTCATGTAATATGTCATACCATGAAGCAAATTGAGCCAACACGAGGAAGAGCACGAGCATCTTCCTAAAGCAGGAACCCGTGGGAACAGCAGCTTGAGGAGAAAAAGCCTGCCTTTTAACTAACTAAACCCAGGTGTGTCTCTCCTCGTCAGTGCACCCATGCTCGTGGCGTCGGTCCAGGCTCTTCACTCCCCTGATGATATCAAGCCATGTCCCTTAGGTAACGACCTAAGTAAGAACACAATTAAATCAGCTCCATTCGACTATCCTCAAATAAGAAGCAGAAACCTTCCCTTTTGGAGAGCGTTAGAAGAGAAACATGACACAGGCGCCAAGCTCGACGGTCCCTCCTGGGTCGTTTGCTCTTATGAATGGCAGGTTGGAGCGCACCCCGTAAAATAAAACTGGAGAGAGAGATCTCGGCATATTTCATCTATCCACAGCGTGTGTGTGCGGTGGAAATTAGGGGTTTGCTCCTTGACTCGACCGAGCAAGGCGGACTTTCGACTGGCTTCTGCTCTTTCAGGGCCTGCCGCGTCATCGATCGACAGGCATCGAGATGGGCGGTGTTCGATTTTGTCCAAGAGAGCCAACGAGAGCTTCTTTCATTTCACTTGGCATCTTTCTTTTTCTTCGGTCCTTTATTTCTTTCTTTTTCCTCCTGACTTGATGGTCAAGGACGAAGGATGGAGGACAGACAGCTGCTACTGCTGCTACTGCTACAACAAGGCTCGGTAACACAACGTGGAAGGTTGGACAAACCTAGGACGCAGTTGGCTTGTGTACTTAAACTCCCAACGCGATATATAAAGGTTGATATACGGAGCATAGATGAATATATATAAATAAATATAAGTATAGTTATATGCTCCATTTATATGATAATCATGGATTGGCTGCGCGACCTGGGCAAGCTCTCTCGTCGCATTGGACTCTGTTCGCGCATGAGGATTCGCTTGTGAGGGCGGAGCACCAAGCATGATCTTCAGGCACGACCATCATGCCCGTCATCTCGTTGTCTCTTCTCTTCGCCATTGCTGCTCTTTGTGGCTACGGCTCTGGCTTCGGTAGTCTGGTCGAGTATCGAAATGCGGAGTAAGCCATTGACTGCGTCTACCGATCAGCAGATACTAAGACGTTAGGCGTCGATAGGCTGTGGTACATTCCCAGGCCAGGAGAGAAAGACGTATAAAGCCCGGCATATGAGACTGCCCATGTACCTCACAACGCCGACCTGCTATCGAAATGCCTGGTGTACTCCGTAAATGATAATATATAGCACGGGAGTTTATATGTTCGTATATGTATGTAGTCAAAGTGCTAGCGTTCGAGAAGCGTCTTCCCAGTCGCACCGACATGGGTGGAGGGGGGACGCCACAAACGGTCAGCCGAAGGGGCAGGAAGAAGCAGAGAAAGATCGCTTATTGCAAGCCGGGCTTGTGACACCCTGGCCACGGAGGATACACAATTATATCGGCCACTATCACGACCAGAGACACTGATTCAGAAGGGATGAAGACTTAAGAGCCGCCTGTTAATTTGCTGCGAGAGCGAAGAAGGAGAGAAAGCGGAAGACGGCGCTGCAGCCCTGCTAACCCGATCGGGCAGGCCGCTTCTGCCAACTCCAACGACCATGCAATTATTAACGACTGTGAATAATCTCCTCGACCACCGACTCGCGTAGTGGCACGGAGTAATTATCTGCAGATATAAGGGCCAAAGGGCCACAGCGAGTTAGAGAATTGTATGCGCGCTGAGAGACGCCTGGAGCGAGACGCTGGTACGGCGTAAATTATCAGGATGGTAGCTTTCATCTCCGACTGGTTAGAGAACATGGGCGCTGGACAAGAGGTTGATGAAGTGTAAGTACCTGCAGGAGCCAGGAACACCCACCGATTGGCGGGCAGTGGCGCTGATCAACAGACAGGAGGCAACTTTTCTCTTCCTCTCGTCTCTGTCAGACGAAGGCACTGAGTGCCCTCAGGTGAACGTCGAGAGGTGGTGTACCCTCCGTACGCAGAGTCATAAAGAGAGAGACACACACACACACACACACACAAGTTAGGGGGACGCAGCTCCCCAGGGAGTCCATCTCACGGCCTTTACCGCCCCAGGCGAGCAGGCATGCAGTCCAGTCAGTGTGTGTCCATATCCTAGTGGGTGATTATGGCGTGGGGCTCGGGGCCCTGGGCGTGGCTAAGGTACACTCATCAGAACCTAGGGGGGACATGCAGCCAATTGGACAGGGCAGACGGCAGACAGGAAAAAGGAAGGACATGTCAGGAACAAAACACGGCCGGGGTGGGCGACAAAAAAAAAGGCTTACTCCACTGCTGATAACCTGCCGCTTGCGCTTTAGGCCCACGTCGACCTGGATAGGGATGAGAGTGGACAAAAAAAGGAGAAGAGCCAAGGGGGCGGGAGAAGAGATTCAGGGTTTAGAGATGTGCATGGGCAATCTCCCACACCCCCCCTTGCACAAGGGAAATACAAAAAGGCCGTATGTTCCACCGAATGCCTCTTTCTTCTCTTTCTCTTTCTCTTCCTCCTCTTCTTTCTCTTTCCATATTTCATCAAATCTATCTCAAAGACCTCGGTCATCCACACTCTTTTAACTACCAGTCACTCTTTAGAAAACCAAACACACGAATTTCCCAATCCGCTTCTTTTTATTCTCTTCTTTAACGACTCTTTTCGAATTCGACTCTAGCAGTTCTTTTCAAAAAACCACATACATTCAAGATGCGTTTCTCAGTTGCTTCTGCTGCTCTCTTCGCTGGTGCCGCCGTTGCCATGCAGGGCTATGGTCAACAAGGCGGCTACGAAGCTCAGGGCTATGAGGCTCAGGGCTACGAGTCCACCGTCTACTCTACCAAGGAGGTCACCATCACCTCCTGCGGCCCCGAGGTCACCAACTGCCCTGGAAGCCAGACTCCTGGTGCTCCAGTTCCTACCACCACTCCTGCTGGCGAGCCTGTCCCAGTCCCAACTTCCTACTCTACTGAGTACGTCACTGTGACCGACTGCCCACCAGAGGTTACCAACTGCCCTGCCTCTTCCACCCGCGTTGAGACCAGCGTTGTCCCAGCTCCTACCGAGACCCCCGTGCCAACTGAGCCCACTGGTGAGCCCACTGGCCTCCCAACCGAGACCGTCCTCCCAACTGAGTCTACCCCCATGGGAACTGGCAACCTCCCTGTCCCACCATCTGGCACTGGTATCCCACCAAACCCATCCGGCGGTATTCCAACTGAGATCCCACCATACCCAACCAACATCCCAAGCCAGCCCTCTCCAAACACCTCCGTTACCTACATCACCACCTGCATGCCAACTGTCATCACCTCCGTTATCACCCTTGAGCCAACCCCAACTGCTGTCCCAACCGGCGGTGTTCCCGGAACCGGTGCTCCTGGCATCCCATCCGGCACTGGTGTTATGCCAACTGGAACTGGTGTCTTGTAAGTTATTCACTCCATTCAAAGCTCATGCATGTTCCATCTTGTTTCATAAACTAACTGATAACAGCCCAACCACCGCTCTTCCAACCTACACCGGTGCCGCCAGCACCTTCTCCGGCTCTTACGCCGTTGCCGGTCTCGCCGGTCTCGCCGCCATCATCCTGGCATAAATTTCTCTTCTTTAATGACTCCCATTAGCTCACGTCTTCCGCCCTCAATCTGTCATTCAGTTCTGGCGAAAAATAATAGCTACGGGGTATTAATTTCCTATTTCTCTTCCTCTTTTGGCTCCTTCTTGAACATAGTGTGCATGGCAAAATAGATCCACTCTAGACAAGAACTTCGAAGATTTTCGATCGGGACTACGGCATTTTGGGTTCTTCATAGGGAGATTTGTGTGCTTTGGTTTTTTATTTCCTTTATTTCCCTCCTTTTTTTGATACGTGGTTAATTTATGGACTTTGCTTGAAATTTTCGAACACTTTTTTCTAACTTACAGTTACTTGCTGCTACCGATATACCTCTTAGTAATTCTCTTTTTTCAATTAGTTGGAGCTGTTCTAATTTCCTGCCGTCTTCGCTCGCTCACGAGTCACTGATTTGCTACGTCTAAAAAGAGGTACAAGGAGCAAAACCTAGCACACATCTCCTTCCTATTCATGTTCCAAGATTAATAGGGCTCAAACATCCCCGGGCCGGCCGAAAAATTCAATATCACACTCTTATTATTTTTATCCCGAATTGTTTCTTAATCATGATCCCTGAGGCGCTTAGGAGCAAGATCTTCCTCTCATGATACTCGATATCATCATCCTCCGTGCCTTGCCGCTGCCCCCATCCCTGCCATCCTTTGCCTCAGGCCGCCCCCATGTCCCTTCCCCGTATTCCATTTAACCGCCGCATTTTGCCCAGCTAAAACGCTTTTATCTCTCCTCTCACCGAGAGGAATTCAATCTCGCTTCAACATCCAACCTTCAGCCCTCCCACATCCATCTGGTTCTTCTTTCCTCTTTTATGCCAAATTATGAGGTACAGAACGCCCACTTCGATATCACATATTATGACGCAGTGTTCATTTAAGCTGATATTAGACCAACCTTAACATCTCGTCGATAACTCTATCCGGCGGGACTGCGTGTTTCAGGCTCTTTCCCTTTGCCCACCCAGGGCCCAGAGACCCCGTATAATTACTGTGAAAAACTGAGGGGAAGCCAGCGGAGCAAGTGACTAAGCACGTTTCAGGAGTGTTCCAACCGTGCCGCCATTCACGGAGATTTCCTGATACAACTCGACCGGCCATGCAGTTGATTTGATTCGCGTATGCAGTGCTTATTATTCCATTCGTCCCTGGCCATGCTGGCTTAGATCATACTGCTATGTCAGGTCTGCTCCCGGTCAGCAACCAGCAGAGGTAAGAGGCGCAAGACAAGGAGGTAGACATATCTTTATGTAGCTGGCTAGGCATGTCAGAATGCTGCATGACATGACATCTAGGGCTGAGACTAGAGTAAATATAGCACCCGTGTAATGATGGATAGAGGCGCTGGTGCATGTTGAGGGTTGAACGAGGTGTGTATAGAACAAGCCCGCAGGGCACGATGTCGGTGTTATCAACCACTAGATAGATAGACAACTATGTTGCTATTTTAATTAACCCTAAGATAGAAATTTCATCGCCTTAACAATTATCCAGAACACAGTCCTTCAACCGGCAACCCAGTATAATTCTAGAAGCTCTCTACTGATTTATCAAGCCACGGAAGGAAACTTCCAACCAAGATTTATATGCTTTCTGGTCACTAAAAGCACCTAGTAATTTTTACGGGATCGGGAAGTCATAATATGGGGCTGTTGGTTTAGTGGTATAATACCCCCTTAGCATGGGGGTGGTCCAGGGTTCGATTCCCTGACAGTCCATTTTTTTTCCCCCCTGGATTGGGGTGCAAATCCCACCGCTTTTCCTTCCAAATGCCAAACTCAAATTTAGTTGCCGTCATTTAGCTTTTCGATATTATTTCCAGCACTTGTCTCTGTATAATGGCTACGGCGTACAAACGGATATATAAAGGTATCTCTGTTAAGAGTAGAGGTAGTTTAAAACATTGACTAGTATAAAAGAGTGAGAGAAAGCATAAGAAATTTCCAAAGTCGATTTATTCGAAGCCATAGCTTCGAATATTAACAAGCAGTTATAAAACCCTTGATTTAGGTTAGGCTTCTCCAACATAATCCTGTCTCAGCTCCATAGTAACTGAAATAGTCTCATTATATCAAATATGGCCGAGAAGTCAACAAATAAGAGCCATTTATCGGACAAGCAACCTTTGGGATCAGGACAAAGCGATGCTGCTTATCTTCTGGGAAAAGTGTGCACGGTGAATGAACGAAAAGACGAGACTAAACACTTCAAAAGCTAATGGGGAACCAACGAGGCGCGGGAAGCTCGAGAGATTAAGAGTCAAGTCAAAATTGAGATGAATGTTCCTAGCTTTCTGGTTGAGGAGGTATACCAAAGGCTTCCCGCAGTTTATTGTCATACTCTGTCCTATCCGCTACTTTTTGATTAAGAATACCGAGGGGATTGAGGGACCAGTGGTATACCATTATGAGACAGTATTGCTCTGCGTCATAGGTGTCTTTCCCTAGCCTTTTTTGAATTCTCTTCTGAAAGATATTAAAAATAGCGACAATATTTTGTAAAGCGAGGGAATACCAAAATGTACCCATCTCCCACCCTTTTGTCATTATTGATGATAGTCGTAGTTCCTGTCTGGCTGTAATGAGATAGCCATCTTCTTCCTGGGCTAAGATTTGAACGAACTCAGTCCACAGCTTTTCATATTCTTTCTCATCAATGCCATCGTCAAATTGACATGTAAGCCAACGGGGTGGGTGTATCATCTCAACAGGCAAAGAGCACCCCCATTCAAGGTCTACAAGCGAGGTAATATTCCACTCCTTATCAACGAATAAGTTGCTCTGATGGAGATCGGTAAGGGAGAATATAAACGGGCCTCGGCGTAAATCTCGCCGAAAGAAGAGAGGAATCGAAATGCGCATTCCCGTTAGAGTAGTTACCTGATTAATATAATCCGAGGGATTATTTATAGCATTTGGTTGGTGAATCAGACGACTATCGTGAATACCTACTATATCTGTGATATAGGAGTCTGTAGTTGAGTAGGTATAGTGACGTTGAATATCTATCGGTATTTCTTCATTCTCTAGCTCTTGGATTTCAAGAGTTAAAGGTCTGTTTGATAGTGAGATAAGGCCGTTATTATCAATAGTAAATGACCCAATATGAGGCAGTGGAATGCGATAGAAGCTTAGCATAATCCGAGCGAGGCTGCGAAATAGCGTAGCCCTCAAGGCAGTATTTGTTGAGTGTTTAAACCAAGTATCTGAGAGCATTGTGCCTTGATTTATCTCAATATATTCTATTAGAATATACCCGAAATTGGCTGTGGGTGCGATAAAGTTCTGGTGACGGACATATTGGGATAGAAACGTGCTTTTAGGCCATATAAGTCCGCCAATCCACGAGGATATCAGGTAACATATTCGGCGATAACATCTTGTGAAAAATGGCAAGCTATCTATCCTTGTGAACTAGGGCTACTGGTTAGGATTCTCTATAATATAAATAAAAGATATAAATAAAAGATACTTACTGATTCTCCTGATGACAACGAAAATCCATAAAGCCGCGGGATAGGGATATTAGGGTGATTCTCTTGAAGCCATACATAAGTAGCTACTTCACACCTAATTTTCTCATCTGTGTTCCCTGGCCTAAATTCCTCGCCGCATTTATAAGGAAGGGGTAGTCGAAGAATAACGCGATCTCCTGGCTGCTCTCTTTTCCAGTCTCGGATAGTAACCGGAATGCATAGATTGAAGCTGCCCCGAAACCATCCACTTGTTGCTGCTATATCACATCTGGAAGGGTTAATGTTTAAATGGTGAGCAACCAGGTCCTTGATCCACCTATCCCTACCCGCGAGCTCTGCGATGAATCGGCTCTCTTTCTCAAAGTATCCAAGTCTATGGAGGATGTTGGCTTCCTTGTCCCTGGCGGCAGAGTAAGAAATCTCTTCTCGGAGAAGGAGTCGATTCATAGTAGCTGGTTACCGGGATCAGGTAGCGATATTGGAAGTGTTGCGTAGTTGAGGCAGAGAATTGAAATCATGAAATGTACTCACAAACTCCCGCATGGACTCCGTAGAGGAACACGTGATGCACCTACGGAGTACTTGGAAGACCATTTTTTATGAATATTTATACATATAACGGTCCCGAAATCATCTTATCCCTTTTTCATTTTTTTATCTTCTTCATCCATTTCTGTTAACCAGCACGGTGGTAATTTAGTTTCTTTTTCCCTTGCTGGTAGGACCGTAACCCTGTCCTGTCACGCTACCAGATCGCCCAACGGCGACTCCGATCCGGACATGACCACGGTTACATATCAGTCATGTCGAGCATATGCATAGCATAGCCGTGTTCGATGCATCAAGAGTAATAGTGTAAAATTGGGTGTTGCTCAATGTTCCAACACGGTTGGTGGCCTTTTGCTACAATCTAGATGTCCCTTAAGGGTGACGGTTCGGCGGGTCCCGTTTTATCGCCACTTGGAATTCGGATATATCCACCCAATAGGAGGTTTATAGAAACAACCATTAAGCTGTATTTATAAGGACAGCCCAACGGGGTGGCTCTTACCGGGATTGGTCGGGGTTGCCGTTTTCGTGGCATGCGACGTCCGTTTCCATATCATTACGGACTGCGGGTATATGCTTGTCACAATATACAGTTATCGAGAGAGGAGAAAAAAGGATCATCAGTAACTATCTGGAGCTGCTTAGACATAGCAAAATCGTTAGTAATATAGCGAGGGTCAGCCAGCATAGAGGCGGGGTGCGCAGCATACTCAACATCTGGGGACATTACGAGGGATATTTTTAGACTTAGCACTTCATATTCCACCTGTACAGCGCATATATTATATACCGCGTCATTGAAGTGAAATATAGATACCAGCACATTATAAAGGAGCTGAGAAATACGTGTCCTCCATCGTATAAAAAAAGTATTGATATATAATAAGGGGTATTGTATTCTATACATTTCCTGAATTGTTTGGCAAATTTTGGGGTATCTGAATACGCAACAATAGAGCCAATAATCAGAGTAGTGAAGTAGCAGTGCGAAAAGTGACTATGGCAATATCAAGAGCATCATTTCATAGCGGAATGCAGAACATCCCAGAACATCCCATCCAAACAGATACACCACATCAACGGCAAAAACAACCAATAGTACAAGAAAAATTATACACGCATATAAGTCAATAGAATGACAGAGCACATAAAAGCAGATATCGACCCGGAAAAGGCGCCGGAGACGGCCGAAAACATCAGGGAATATGTTAGAAAGCATGGGGCAGCTGGCCTCACTACTACCCTTGGAAATCTCAATTCAGACCTAGAGAGGGACGCTCGCCGGAAAGAGGCGATCGGGCATTTACCCAGACGGACACAGATGGCCAGAGACGAAGAACCGCCGGCACGCTTTAGAAAGCCGGGTGATCCATTCACCATTCGCGAGACGACAGTGACAGAGAGCAGGAGTACGTTTGTAATATATCCTTTATTATATTTTGTTCGGGTATATCTAATTGGATTCGGGGTATAGGTCAAGGTGGTGTCCTCGTCCATGCCATATGGAAGGCTAGGAAAATAGGAAAATCAGATACTATAATTAGCCAGGGTATTAAAGGAGAAGATCTCCAGGCACTCGAAGGTCCCGCCGGCGCAGCAAAAGCTCGACACGCCGAGAATAAACGGAAGAGAGAGGAGACAGAGAGGGCGAAGGAGAGAGCGACTGCAGGGGATAGCAAGAGAATCTTGCGTTGATACTATGCAAAGTCACGTACGTACCTAGGTAGTTGGAAAGAATCTGGAAGGAGGACTAATTTAATCCAATGAGTGAGAGATAACAAGCAATGACGTCACTGCATGCCGCTCGTAACCCTGTTATAAAAGAAAATGCTCTGGTCGAGAACACCTAGCGGTTATCATATCGATTGACGTCCTACCTTTGACACAATGCCTGTGACTACAAGGAGAATGAGCGACAGGCAGCGCCAGGAGGTGGACCATACTTACAATGGCATCGAAGACCGAGTCTCCGAATGCGTCACGATGTATCCTGTGTTTTGTACCGCCAAAATACCCTCAGATGTACGTTTTATCTATTAGTACCAACTACTAAATGTTGACTGTCAACTCACCTGCCTACCTTTCCAGATTCTTGACGAGTTTATCGATGAGTCATATGCAGGAATAAGAGACACCATTGGTGAAGGTGACCTCCCAGGCTATGGCATGTCTCCATGCATTCTCCAAACAACCGATCTAGATTCAATCACTCATGGCTCCCGCAAGCCGATGCCAGTAGATTTTGAATCTCCCTTCCTTAACTGGACAGACGAGCAGGTCCGAGAGTGGGCGACGAAGGCGTCAAGGCCTGGGCATCCCTCTTTCGCACATAGGACATTTACTATTCTCGATCAAAATACAATTGATAACAAGGTATGCCGCGTGGGATATATTAGTGTCAACGAGGAAGATGACGATTATCGGATGTTAAGCGAAGTGTTTTATGCGGATATAATGGCAAGGGTCCCCTTAGAAGAGGCCGAGATATGCTGGGATGAAACGCTATTGGGAGTAGGAGCGGATGGGGTACTTGACCCGACTGAGGAAGCGCGCAAAATGGTTGAAGATAGCCGTAAGAAGAAAGGGAAGTAAAGATTGCTTGTCTTGGGGGTATATCCAGCTTGTATGCAAAGGGTTGAAAGGATCTGATGTTATATTTGGCTATCTTGGTCAATTGAATGTTGACTTGGCATAGTCATTGGTTGATTAATCAAGGCCACAGTTACTACACTGTGATACACAAGGATAGATGTAACCGAGAGAGAAACGTATCGTTCCTGGGTTACTGCGAGTGTTAGCTGAGCTACTCCTGATGGAATAGACACAAAATGGAACCACCTTTGTTAGTTATTATTTTAAGTATCGCTATTACAGGGGAAGCCTTTCGAATTTAGGGGATGTTCGCTCTATTTGACGTTTGACGAGAGGTATCTGATAGTCAGTGTTGGATTTGGATATCTGCTCAGGTACGGAGTAGTTGGTGAGTTACTGCCCAATAACCACGACCGATGAATAATCATTTGAAACAAAGCAATAACGAAAGAAGGAGTAGGTAGGGTAGGCAATCGGTTCAGTGAGAGAAAGCACCCCTTGACCCTTGCAGCGCCGTGATCGGCGACGATGGAACAAACTCGGATGCAAGGACCGTCTTGGAAGATGCACCAGAGGCCGGGGATTAGCTGGCCATGGAATAACAGGTACAGAACTACCTCAGGCACCTGGGTAGTTACATCGCATCGAGAAGGGCAACTCTTGCACACCATCTCTTTCGCTGCGGACAGGCAGACTTTTCACACGACACACTCGAGCCTCTCCGGTGGCGCCGACGTTTCTCCTCCAAAAAGCCACACTCGCACCGACATCTATCGCTTGACAGGCCAAGGTACAACACAACGTACACATGTACATGATCCTGTCGCCTGTTTTCTCTGTCACCCTCGATACGTGCGGAGATTGTCGGGAATCGTCGACATGCTTGCTACTCAGCCATCCTCATCCTTCTCTGTAACCCCTCCTCCTCCTCCTTCATGTTTAAGGCCGGGAAGAGAGACAGGAGGGCTTGTCGCTCCATCTAGCCGTAAACAGGTCTAAGGGGGAAGAGAAAGGATGTGAGGATGGGGAAGCGCCGCCTGCGCCAACCAGTTATTCTCATACCGCGCAAACAAGCAAACAAGGGATCCGTCCACGGTCTCTCCCCCATACCAACCGCTGCCTCTTATGGCAGTTCAGTAACTCCCTCTTTGAAAGGGGCTGATACTGATATCAACGGATGCAACAACCCAAAACATCTCTATATCCGCCATCTACGTAGCATATGGTCGGCTGAGGATGCTTCCGGGCTTCCACCCCCCCCTTGCGTCTTCTCCGAGCGTTGTGTTTCGGTCAAATCCGCCCCTGGGGACGATCGCCTCTTAGCCTCCAAAAGCAACCACTGAGCTGTGACCATGCGCCTACTGCTACGGCTGCGGCAGGTAGCATCCGCCACAAAAAGTGCAGACAAAAGTCGTCTTCGGCCGGAAAGAAATTTCTGGCCAGGGGATATATTATAACACCGTGCAGACTTCTGCCGCCTGTTATTTCGCTCTGGAAGAATCACTTGTAGTTATATTCTTCAAAAAATTCTTGCCTCAGGAGTTAGTTACGATACCAACTCCACCACAATCAAGAACGCCTCTGCTTCAGAAAGTGCAAACCCGTATCGCCTTCGTTTTTTTAGGGAGCCATAATACGGGACGGGACTACTATTTTTGTCTTCCGAAGGAAAGATTGCCACAGAAGATTCCTGAAAGGGGCAAACCTGTTTCTTGATATCTATATCTTGATCCTCTTTTCTTATTTATATTTGGTTGGTGCCAGTTGTTGTCTCTTCTCGAAATACCCCCTTTCTCGAAGTCTGCAGCATTTATACACAAAAGGAGAACTATCTCCAGAATCTACGGTCTCCAGATGTCGACAGAAGTTATATACGCTCGATCCTGGGATCAAGGACATACGAAATCCCAGTCACTCAATATCTATACACACAACACAAAGGCAGTGAGCGATACAGCACTGAGCGAGGCCAAACCAGCTACCCTCAACTCGAAGCAACGGATGCGATTCTGGTCAAAGTTCAAACGCTCCAAGAGCCAGAATATAAACAACTACCACACCAAATCAAACGCAATACCCCAGCGAGCAAAGTCAGATGCGAATCTAGTATGGTGTCCCGAACAGAAGATATGGCTATTCGCACGTCAACCTGCCAACCACTCATCTCCTTCCTCTCAATCACAACCAAAGACTACCGCTACCGCAATACTTCCACCACGAGCCGAGTATGATGAAGAAGAACTCCTCTTTGCCCAGTTGCCTGGCCATTATTGCCTAGGTATCTACACCGAAGTCAACAACGAGCCCGTCAGCCCCTGTCAACCAGACTTTTTCGACTTCTCAGCACAAAAAGCCTTGGGTGGAAGCCGATGGATGTCCGTTGCTCAACGAGTTGGGCCGGGAAGTACCATGAGCTGAATAGATAGGCTGTTCTGGGAATGTGGATGTACGATACTCTTTTACTAGCTAGCTAGCTTGCTTTGCGCACAGCTTAGCCTAGCTGATAGAGGTTCCTCTCTATCTCTCAACACCGGACCGGCGCCCTCCAGGCCGCTGAAGAAGTCACACAGTTGACAAAGACGCACCTGCCGAATAATCAGATATCGGCCTGCTCACCGCTTATTCTCACAGGCCGAGATAAGGAACTGGCTGTCAACGGGACGGCCGCAGGAGGGTCAAGGATACCTATTGGAATAGGATGGGGCATACACGGTCATCAAAAGGAAATACCATTAATATCTTATCCTTCATATCGAGGGAGAGCATGGTACCAAAAGCTCAAGCTACTGTACAATACCAAGAAGCATTACACGGATGGGAAAAGTCCTTAGCATTTTAATAATAATAATAATAATGCATCATTATTACTTATAATGATTTATATCTTCAATTTAAACCTCCCCCTGTGCACACTCATGAGTACCACCTACTTTTATTACTGGTGTAACAGTTACTTTCCCAAGAAAAGAAGTTACATTGGTCACTGGAATGCATGTATAAATATGCCGTGGAGCTTGTACCTGGAGCTCGTACGCTGCTCTCGTATAACTAGGTAGCTAGTTATCTCCGTCGTATTCCAGGTCCCGAATACTTTCCTTGCAACTAAGCGCGGAATATCATGGCAACCCACAACCTTGCGGGACCAGCGAGCGGTGGACATTATATCTAAAGCAAACTAATGACTTGCCTTAGTATTATATCGATTGTTCAACATGTTATAACTTCTGATCCTCCGTTGATGAATATACTGGAATCTACATTTACTCTTACCCATAAACAGTAAGTATAGACAGGCTATCAGTATCCACGAATCCAAAAACAAAGGTATATAGGTATAGCAATTTTTATTCTTCTGATAAAAATAAAAATGTAACAAAGTATCAACAAAGCGTAAGGGTCCTCTTAGTCTATGAGCCAGGAAATAGAAAAAAAAAACGATGGATGACGACCAGCAAATGCCATGCATCTAAAAAGAAGACACCAAGATAATAATCAAGAAGGGTAAGGGGGTTAAAGAAAAGCAATAATGAGGGGGGAATAGGGGGATATCGTCTTCGCTCACTCTGGCCTTTACATAGCGGCAAATCCTGTGCTAAAACAGGGGGAGATAATGTGAGAAGAAAAAATGGAAAAAAAATGAAAGTATGAAGAAAGGATGATATGGTAGTAAAATGGTACATAAGACCGAGGATGGGCCCAAGGTTAGTTGATGGCGTGTAAGGTGTTGTTGAAGGATAGATCGCTCAGATAAGAAGGCAAGCAGGCAATGGACTTTTGTTCTTTCTCTTTTCCTCTCCTTGATGGGGAAGCGGAAAATAGGCGAGAGGGATGGGAAACCCTTTTTCCTGATGAAAAAATGTTATTTGGTCATTAG